AATTAAACCTTTGCTTTCAATTTGTAAATAATTACTAGAAATATTATTTCACAGTTTGTTGAAAGATAATTTTTATTTATGTTTGTTAGCGCAGCACTTCAAGTTCAACTGTTTTCTAAGCTGGCCAAATCTGGAGCTAGCCGGTTGCTGCAAACCACTTTGTTTCCAACCGGCAAATGACTGCCAATAATAAACGATCTATTTTGTCTGTGATAATAAATTTTACACTTCAAATTTTCCGGGCAAGTGAACAGCCGAAAGTCACTTGCGTTTCCGGGCAACTACCAGCTAAATTTTAGTTGCCCGGCTGATAAAACTAGTTGCGAAACGCAACCATCGCAAGTAGGTATGTCGGACTCTGAAATCTATAGTAAATAACTTTGCCTACCTTGCATGACAAAACCTTTTAATTGACTGTTGTTTTTTTCCTTTGCTTTTCCTTTTTCTCGTCATTTTGTCATCACTGGTAATCAGCAGAGCTGGAAATTCCCGGTCGCCCGCTCGTCAAATGCGACTAAAAATTTATTCTGACGACTAAAACTACAAAAGTCACAAGGGTTACTGGCCTAAAGTATTTGGTCTGGGCGAGTGATTTAAATTGGTCCTAAACGTATGGTTGCTCAATTAAAATGTTGAACAATTATGTGAATAAAAAAACGATCATTTCATCGTTGTTCATACCTTGTTTATACTAAAGAGAGGCACACGTGCTTTGACCTAAAACTTGCATATTATGACCAATCATTTTCAACATGAGTCTGACCGTCAACAGTCAACGGACTGGTCAACTTCGCCGATCTTCAAAGCCAAAGGTGTGCGTATTCGTACGCGCTGGGGCTCCAGCCAATGCGTAAAAACAGCAAAACAACGCGTAATTACGCACTCTCATACGCTAACGAGTTTACTGCTCAAGTATTTGTAAACTTTCAGTTCTTGTAATCGGACCAACTTTCTGCCTTCAGCGAAAAAAAAAAAAAGCCTTCAACTGCAACTTATCTTGTACCTTTGCATGCCCGTGCTTCCCAGTCTTGGAAGTTGACATATCGACAATTTTGCATGGTTTGCCCTTCAACATCACATGACCATTCTTACGCAGAGCCGAGCATTGCATGGGAAACGTCTGTGAGGCCCCAGAGCCCGCCTGGTGAAATTCTTCATCATGAAACTCATCTGCCATTTTGGTTTACTGAAAGAGACATAAAAACCATACATAACTTCACTTTGACTTCCACTCCTACATGTTCTGACAAACTTAAAACCCTTAAACCATTCATAATAAATGCCATTTTGTGGAATTTCGGCAGCATTTTTCTTTTCCGTTTTCTACTCACATCTACACTCTATTCAACATATCAATATTCATACTATTTTTAATTTAACAATTTAGTTTGATGATTTCTGTGATATTTTGGCTACCATTTCTTGTGCATTTCACACAAAAATATCATTATCAGGTAATATGAGAGATTTTAAGGTTTTAAAGGTCTTGGTTGGGAAAGGTTACTAAGTGTGTAGAAACTGAAGACACAGAAAATGTGAATATAGGGCAATTTAAAACACGTGTATCTCTCAAGTAATCTTAGGCATTTTTTTGCAAAAATATTACATAAAATGAATGTGGAACCTTCTTTAAAAAACCCTTTGTATTTATACAGCAAATAAAGACTGGTTTTCATATTAACCAAAGCTTTTCAAGTACTCTTAAAAAAAGAGGGGTTGTAACATGGTTCATTGCATCCATCTGCTTCTTTTATCAATATTGAAACACCAGATCTTTACTGTTATGAATACCAATTTGTATTTGAACATCAACTAGAACATCCAGTAGCACCCATTTCTTTACTGTAACAGTATTCAGGCCAATTATAACAAAAATGTATCAGTTTTAACATGACCCCAGGGAAGTAGTGTTTAAATAAAAATTAAAATCCAACTTTTGAAACTTAAGGAAAGAATTAAAAGACATGATGAACATTTATAACCTCTGCAACCTTTTCTACTACTAGGTTGTGGTAATCTGCATATATCATGCACTATCAGAAAAGATTGTCACATAACCTCCTTTGTTGATTTGCCTTTGTCTGTGACAACATATTCATAAAAAGTAAACATATTGACATTCTTTAATGAGAATAACTAGAGGCATCGACCAAAACTACCTAACAAATCAATAATTTCACTAGCCTAATACTCGACCATACTTGCCTTCACATAAACAGAGCCGCAAACACACAAGGTATTTTAATTATCTATACCAAAATATCTTATCTCTTGGTTTTGTTTCGACGAATTCGTGTGATTACACCATCACCCGCAACTACCACAAATAAGACCTACTTCAAAACGTTTTTCATTGACACATCAGCGTTTTATAACAAGAGACCAATGCTGCTTAGTTTTTGGTGTAAGTTCAGGAAAATGACAAAACACGTGTGTTACTAATTTAACTGATACCTGCGATCTCTCAACCTCACCCATGCAAATGAATCCATGTGTCATCCAAGATGGCCGACACGTGCAATATTCACGTTTCTAAGAACTTTAAACCCAAGTCAGCAACTAAAGAGCCTACAGACAAACTCTAGAATACCAATTTGCTCGAAATTAAGCTTAAGTTTTCTCCATTCTTTTCATTTTACTGTTAAACCTATCGAAAATGTTCAATCAAGTTACTCACGTGCGCTATGGTCACAAACTGGAGAAAAAGAGGCCGGTTACGCATGCGCACCACGTTACTAGGCTGCCCTCTAGAGGGGTACAGTGTATTCACATTAACCGTGTGGCCACAAGGCCTTTTAGTCGGTACGCTTTCTCTTTTAAATCGGATTAAAATGTTCTTTAGGCCACAACTGACTGTAAAACGTATGTGAAAAATATCCTTGTGATAAATATAATAAAATAAAGTGTTGTTATTGCCACAGAAGAAGTTTTTTCATTGACCAAACAATTGGTATTTTTTTTATCATTTATCCAACCTATTTTAAAAAAGGATTGGTAATTTAGGAACGACGTACAATTCCCTCAATCCCTAAAGGAAAGAGAAGATAATGAGCAAATAAATCATCATATTTTTTCTGTATTCATTGCTGCATTTACCACTAGGTAAATAATAATAATAATAATAATAATAATAATAATAATAATAATAATAATAATAACAACAACATAAATAGCATGAATTTACTTTTTTTTATTCACCACTCTGATAAATACATTAATAGCAACGACGTCCCACATCACACTTCTAATCCATAATATTGATATCATATTGACACTGATCTTAAACGATATCGCACTTTAAACTTTCATATGTTTGACCGGAGCAAACATAAACACATATTGATATTGGCAAAGAAATGAAATGAAAAGAAATGAAATGAAATGAAAAGTTTTTAAAAAAACTAGGTCAAACAAGCGCTCTGTAATAGTTGGGAGAGGGAGAGATAGAGAACGGCGCCAAAATGTCTGGACACTGACAAGTAGTCACCCAGTATCCGTCTCTGTCAAACAAGCATTTTTTAGTATAATATTTGAGAAGGGACACAAAATTTACATATTTAGCCATTTAATCAATCAAAATGTTCATACTTCTTACTCTTCCTAGTGTTTCTCCCTAAAATTGATGCCGACAAAAAGTAGGTCAAGTCGGGAACATTAGGCACCCGTCGTTTTTAAGTTTTACTAAATTGTTTATAAAAATTAAACCTTTGCTTTCAATTTGTAAATAATTACTAGAAATATTATTTCACAGTTTGTTGAAAGATAATTTTTATTTATGTTTGTTAGCGCAGCACTTCAAGTTCAACTGTTTTCTAAGCTGGCCAAATCTGGAGCTAGCCGGTTGCTGCACTCTGAGGCCAATAAAAAGACGTTTCTTACGATGTAGGATAGCTTCTGAGTTCTGGGTGCGAGTACATGTATATGCCCTACTCCTCCATCCCACTCCCAAATAACGCGCGGTACTTATATAAGGAGTGAATCAAAACAGTGCCAAGTTTTGTCTCGTTTCGATCTTATACATGTACGACGATTTGAGACAAAACTAAATATTTTTTCCACGAAAGAAATGATGAAGAAAAGTAATAATGAAATTAAATGAAATTAAAAAGCAGCTGATAATGAAATATTTTTGTTTCTTTCTCCAACCCTTAGTAAAATGATAGCCCTGATAGGCCAACAGTAGGTCTGCTGGTCATTCTCAAGCAGATCTACATGTAGATCTCTCCCTCCCCCCCCTCTCTCTCTCACCCTTTTTTTCCTTGCTTAAACATATTAAACCAATTATCAATTGCTTTATAAAAACATACATTAATTTTTTAGGCTGATTGTTGATGGAAATTTGAGTTTTAAAAGATTTCAATGACACCTTTTTCTTTCTATTTTATTGTTTTTTCTTACTTGAATTCTTTTTTGTATGTCTATTTAGGTCGACCATAAGAGCTTTCATGTGAGATATTCAACCACGATTTTTTTTTATGCAAATCAGCCCGTTTTCTTTCTTTTTTTTTTCCTTTCATTTTTTAAATGTAGCTAAACTGCTCATTCCGTCCGGTTTTCATGTGTGAAAAACACTGAGAATTTGGCCTAACATATATTAGGCCTATTTATGTTTTAGGCCTAATATAGGCCCTATATTAGGCCTAAAACATAAATAAAAACCCAAGCATAGCCTAGTTCTGAGTTGCATTCATTGTTTATTCGTTAAGCGTTGTAAATTGGTCAGCGAAGAGGTGAAGTACCTATAGAGCTTTTATTCAACCCGTTTTTTTTTAGTTTAGATTATGCTACCCTTCCCCTTCCCCCTCCCCTTAATTTTGCTTCGACCGCGGTATAATCGTCCTGGTTGTACGAGGTATTAAGATTACGCACAGAAGCTAAACATATGTAAGTTTGTCCTTAAAAAACTTCATTTGTGCTTTAAATACTATATCTAACCGTTTTGATTTGAAAAAAAATTACACCCGATCTACTTTCGACTTTTTTTCCATGTCCGTTTTTAGGCACAGAGTTCGTTTCGTTTTACTGACTTCCGATTCCTTATTCGGCACGCCTCCACTATTGACCAATCAGAATGGAGCATGTGCAACTTTGTCCAATCAGCGCGCAGAGATCGGGCGTTCAGCAGCATGCGGCAGCCATCTTCACAGAGAAGAGAACAAAGAGAAAGAGCTGCAGAGTCCAGTGTCGTGGACAACTTTTAACATCAGTTTTACCATCAGGGCCATGTCTGAGGCCGAAGAAACACCACAAGAGAAGCCCGCTGCGACCGAGAAAAGGGTCATCGGTATGAAATTCGTTGATTTCTCATAGTTTTTGGGATTTTACCGGTTTAAAGGGATGCACGTGTATGGTGACCTGACCGGGCGAAACGGTACAAATACTGAAGCAGTGAAAAAGCTTATCCGATCTGCATTGAGTAATAAATATCGTTGCAAAATTACCCAAAAAAATTTATTCATGATAAATATTTGAAAATGCATTAAATGAATTTACAACGCTTTGCTTGCCGGTGCACAGTTATTGGTTACTATTATTGTATCACTATCAGTAAATGACCTGACCTAGATTATTTTATTAGTTTCCTTTTTTTTTATTTTAGAAAAATAAAATACAACTTAGACACGGTTAAATTAACTTACAAAATACTGTTTGTTTGGTAAAGGATAAATTTATTTAAAGTTAATTAAGATCTAATCAGGTATTGATATTTAGTGAATATTTTTTTTTTCAGCAACTAAGGTCGCTGGCACTGTGAAATGGTTCAATGTAAAGAGCGGGTATGGCTTCATTAATAGGTAAGATAATTTTGTAAACAAAGGAGAACAAGAGGCTGATTACTCTAAAATATAATATGTCATAATTTTTTTTTTAAGGAAAAAATCTTCCTTTCAGGGCTTCTTACTACATTTGTTCTTTTTTCTTTCTCTTTTCATTTCTCCCGTATAAGAAGCTAAGGTGATCTGGTGTAAACTTGGAAAATGGTTCAATCCATTACAAATGCTTTTTTGTAAGTATTCAGAACAAAGTTCTTGCTGGTGGAACAGATTGGAAAAAAGTTTGAAAAATCTGTGCCAGTATCTGTTGTTTGTACAAACTACAAGAAAATATATACAATTTTTTTTTTTCAGAGATGACACCAAAGAAGACGTGTTTGTCCACCAAACTGCCGTCATCAAGAATAATCCAAAGAAATACCTTCGCAGCCTGGGGGATGGGGAGAAAGTGGAGTTTGACGTGGTAGAAGGAGAGAAAGTAGGTGGTTTTGTACCCAGATACCTTTTTGTAAAGTTCAATGTCTTAATGTTATCTATATGAGTGGGTTTTGTGAATGTTTGTCTTTAATGCCTGGAACCCTTTTCTTGTCTGATAGATAAGGCTGAAGTCCACTTTGTCTCAACTTATAACAGGCACAAAATGATATTGTGGTTACCTATTAATATTATCTTATAAAACTGATGCCCATATAGTAGTGTATGTGTGAATGTAAGAATGAGAGAGTAGTTCATTGAGGTGGTTTATGCACATCAGATTTCTTCCTTTGCTGTAGGGCAATGAGGCTGCCCAAGTCACTGGACCGGAGGGAGCAGCTGTGCAGGGTAGCAAGTATGCTGCTGACCGTCGTCGGTACAGGGGATACTATAGAGGCCGAGGAGGACGCGGGCGTAGGCGCATGCAGGTCAGTTACTGCAATTTTTGTGAAACTTTATAATAAAATTGGCCAACATGCTTTGTAAAGTAGATGCTTTAAGATTTAACAAGAGAGAAGAGGGATTTATTTATGTAACTTTATATAGATATGGTAGTCCACTAAAAATGATAATTCAAGAAGTCTTGTGTGCAGGGACAATTTCAAACTGGAAATCAAGGTGTGGATTTCACACATCCTAGCTACCCAGTGAGAGTGCCTTGGTCAGCTCATTTGGCAACTGTCAGACATATTCCAATTTTGTGCATAAGTTTCAGATTGCCTCTCTCTGCCTGTCTTGGCTTGTGTCAAAATCTTTGTGGTACTTTCTGTAAGAACATTTTTAATTGGGTAGGAAATGGAATGGTTTTAATCAGTTTTGTCCCCCAATTCAGACCAAATGGCTGTGTGGTGGGTGTAGATGAGTATTGTTGATATCACAGTGCTATCAGTGTAGCATGTGTTAGTGTTATTGCTGGTTTACTCCTAGGAGGAAGGAGAAGAAGGTGAAGAAGGCCAGGGAGAGGAAGGAGAGGGGGAAGAGCATCGCCCGCCCAGGCGCCGTCCCTTCCATCGCCGTGGACGCGGCAGAGGACGTGGTCGTGGCTACGGTTACCGTGGAGGACGCAGAGGACCCCCTAAGGGTGAGGGAGAAGAAGGACAGGAGCATGAAGATGATGTAAGTGAACTCTTTTTGTTTTGTTCTGCTCTGTTGGTGGATCAGCTTTCTACAAGTTGCATCATACAGTTTTTCTTCCTTTCTCAGTGTTGTTACCAGGAAAGAGTGAACAGTTCAGTAGTAATGAGATAAGTCTAGCAGATTCGTTCAGATATTGTGGTGGTGTCATTCCTTTTTGACCCCCTTGCAGACCTTTGTGCTTGCATTTTTAGGGTCTCGTATAAAAGGTCCACACTATGCCTCTTTACCAAGAAACCAATGCCCACCACAAACTCTGGATAGTGTTGTTTTTCTATCACTCCTGAATGAATGAATGTAATTGATGTTAAAGGAAAACACTAGTTTATGAAAACTTACTTTGCATTTGATGAGTGGGAAGTGCATGCTTATATTTACTGTTTCCCCAGGGCCATGTTGAAGGAGAAGAGGGTGAAGAGGGGCAACAACCAAGGCGTAGATACTATCGCCGCTACTATGGAGACCGAGGCTACTATAGGGGGCGTGGTCGTGGGAGAGGACGGGGACGTGGAAGAGGACGTGGCCGTGGTGGACAGAACCAGGGTGACCGAGATCAGGGTGAAGATCAGGTAAATTTATTTTTTAGAAATTAAGTCTTGTGGTTGAAGCAGGTGATTTCTAAGATAAATGAATACCTTATTCTTTGGTGTCTTTACAAGTTTGTTCATGTATTTTTTTCTTCTAGCTGAGGAAAATGAAAAAAAAATTGTTGTTTTGTGAAATTGATAACTGTAGAATCCCACTGAAATATACTAACGTCTTCTTACCATGCAACTTAACATTTAGGCTTTGTTCACATGCAATGTCTATTTTCTAAATTCTATTTTCTATTTGCGGTATGTCTTATGATCACGGTCTGTGGCCTGAATATCCCGCGGCGTAATTATTGGCAGTGCGAGCCAGTTACTATAAGTTACTATAAGTAACTGGCTCGCGCTGCCAGTAATTACGCGGCGGGATATTCAGGGCACAGACCGTGATCATAAGATAGCGCAAATAGAATATAGAAATTAGAAAATAGACATTGCATGTGAACGAAGCCTTAAAGTAACATAAGAATTGGCATTTGGTTTTATCCCAACAATTAGACTTCAAATACATATTTTATTTTGTAGTAATGCTTCTTTACCACATTTATTTATTCCAAATATTTTGTTGTTCTCACCCAACCTGCAATGTGTTACAGGGTGGCCATGCTGAGAATGGGGATGGAGGACAGGAGATCCTCAAGGAACCATCTCACCAGGATGGGGAGACCACTGTGTAGACAGTCCTCACCAGGCAGAGCCACCCCTCAAAGCAGCAATAAAAGATGGCATTGAACAGAGCTGCTGTAGTGGAAACATCGTAGTAGACTTGCTTGAATTGAAATACTTTCAAATTGACAGGTTGTTTATGAGGTACATCAGTTTTTGGCCTTTTGAATTCTGTTGAGGATTTTTTTTCCTTATTTGGGGGGAATAAGAATTTTATTCCCATTATATTTGAAGGTTGGAACTGGAAAAAATGTTGCCTCATAGAAAAGCTGACAATTTTTGTTACAATTGCAACCGTATGAAGAATTGAATAGTTATTCTAGCCCTAAATTTCAAGAAACATTTGGAGGGCCTTTTTCATCAGAAATTTGAATTTATTGACAATTATTACAAGGAAACGCCTTAACAACATGTGACAACCGCAAGCGTTTGGAGCCCTAACATCATTTGGCAAAATTACGCCATGCATGAGACCAAGATATTTGCATGTAAAAAAAGTTGAATTTAACATCAATTGGTCTTTACTTTTGTTTTTATATTTTTTGATATGTTCGTTAAAAAGATTCTGTTTAGAATCTGTATTCAAAGTATTACTTAAAAAAAAAAATGAAAAACTGTTTACAATATAGAAAACCTCTGTTGTAAGCATTGTTGGTATGGTGTCACCTTGAATGACAATGCTTTAAATCTTTGTCAGCAGTCCAACCTTTATTTGTAGAAAATCTTTTATTTGCATATTATTATCAATGATTTTTTTCTTACCGAAAAAGGATGGATGGAAGACGAAAATGTAATATGCTTGAAAAGTTAGTTTGTGTAAAGATTTATGATGGCAACATCTGGCTATGAAAATGTGAGCAATAAACTATTGCACACCACTTTTATGTCAATTTTGTTTTTTCTACCCCCTCTCCCACTTTTCTGTCTTCTGTTATTTATATATTTGAAGCGAGCTTGGATAACTGTAACACATAGAAACCACTAGTCATTTCTTATACAACTAAAGCAAAGTTAATCCCTCATTCAGCCAAAACATATTTTATGAAGCCAAATGACTTGTAGAATGATTGTAGCTTCACAATTTGAAGCTTGAGGACTTTGTTTCAAGAATTAAGTTTTATTTAAAGTACATACAAAATATTATCAGTTGATCCTTACCAGCAGGACCTCAATGATTCATTTACTTGACATATATTTCCAGGAAATAATTACTAATACCTAAACTGATGTAAACAATCTAATCCTGCAAAATCTGCATTAACTAGACAGCAAGAAATCCACATTTAGATAAAATTAATTTAAAAAAAAATCTGAATAGATGCAAGCACAATAAAGATAATACAGTTACTACATTATTTTTTGCTGTACTACCTACAAATAATATTTAACACAGGAACAGACTTGAACTGTCAAAGATAAGATTCAAATAAGAACAGAGATAAAATTTACAAAAACTTCCTTGTAAAAATATATAAATATGCCTTCTTGTAGTAATGAATGTTATCTCACTAAAAGGGATCAAAGGTTTGCACATCATTGACTGATCTTTACTTGTCATGCTTCATAACAGCAGCTGAACATTTTGCCTTCCACTAGTTTGTCTTAAGCTAAAAATCAAATACTAGTAGCTACTATTTCTCTGTTGTGTAACTGACAAATATTCTGATATTTAAACTTGACTACTGGTACGTGCATCTCGAATTTATCATGGTCCACAGCATGACCAAAATTTTGCTCTTAAATACACATTGATCCACTTTTTGTCTTGAGTTTGTTTAGCTGTGTTAGATGTGCCACAGACACTGACAACAATTGACTGGTTCATAACACAATCCTGTGCGGTTCTGCACATCAAGAACAGACTTCTTCCATCGCCAGTTAATCAGCCAGAATGGGACCATGACGGCAAAGAATGCTGCAAGACCAAATTTATTCATTCATCTCTTATTTTATTTCATTTTTTATCTTCTTTTCTTGCATAAAATACAAAAAAATTAGTTTTTGATTTGAAACTGTAAACAAAGGTCTTGAATAGACACATTTAAGGCACAGTTGCTGAGATGAAGGAAAAATAATTTACCGACTTGTGGTTTACGTTTTACAAGACTTACCTATAGCACACATTGAAGCAATAGCCATGGCTAAAGAGAAATAATACAGCTCCTCTGTGGTCTGACTCTGGAAAAACAAAATAACTGCTGTCCAATGGCAATGTAGATTACAAAAGACTGGCATTTAGATCTTATATGAAAGTCACTATATCTATAAGACACGCAATACTATTGGTGACAGGTGTTTTGGTGTGGGTCAGATCGACAGAAGGGGGGATAATTTAGCAGTATTGTCTGCTAGATCATGAGGCAAGTGAAGGAGAGGAGAAATAAGGTGAAAAACTAAAATGATTTTCTTTTTATGTCAACTATATTTTTAAGACTGTTAACACAATAGTATGTGGAGTGCTAGAGTTCACTTATGTAGACAAACATGGAAATGTTTTTTTTTCCCTACTTACGCAATCTCCTGCTAGGGATGTTAGTATCGTAGATATGCACCCAAAAACAAATGTGACGATACCAAAGACGTGGAAGGCAAGTTTTACTTCCCTAGGTACGGGCTCCATAATAGTAAAGATAAAGGTGAAACCTGGAAGAAAAATGAGAAAATACTTTTCTTGAATCTGTAAATAGATATGCTCAAGAAAAATTAATTAAGATCAACATTTAAAATTCGTAATCTTCTAATTGGTTTCAATTTAATCTCATCTAGGCTTAATCATAGTAGCACTGAAGCCTTTAGAAAAGAGATTGCTCTGTGGATTAATTTAATTGTGTAAAAACTGCTCTTGATGTAAGTAGACTATCCCCTGGGGTGGACAATGAGGGGGTGCAGGATATCATAATTTTCATATAAAAACAACTGTTAGAGTTTTAAATATCTGGTACCTATCATCATGAGTGTAAAAACAATGGTTGCTATCAAGAATTCCAGCAAGTTTTGACCACAATAGCGGCCACTGTGGTCTCTGGTCATAACAAAGAACTGCGGAAACAACACCCCAGCACTGAAGATCAGAATGATGACACGTCTGAAAGAGAAATTTAAAATAAAAAAAAATTAGAAGACAATTAAATCTAGAAAATAAATGTTGCTTTTGAATTTTATTATACAGGGATGAATACCATAATTTATTATTAGTATTTTTTAAATTACTAAGAAATTTCTTTAATAGTGCGGATTAGTGCCTCTATGCATGTTTCATATATAAAAGCATTGATGGCAACTTTTTGCTTCTACCTAGCTTACTGCCTCCACCATGACAGAAGTAGTTTCCACTAGAATTTGAAAATCAGATATGTATATGTGCAGTAGCATGGATTTATAACATTTGTTATGATTATGATTTATTATGATTTCCCTATTCTGTGGTCCCTGACATGGTCAATTCGTTCACTCACATTTTAGCTCGGTTGTTCTGAGGGAACCACCGCGTAAGGTGGTACATGCTGTGAGCCCAGAAATACGTCCACATCGTGATTTTTTTCAACGCTTCTTCAAAATAAAAATCGCTTAACGCTGAAATAAGGACATTAAATAATCTGTATGATGTAATAATTGATAAAGAATGATACTGTGCTAAACTTGAAAGAAACCACAACCCAAACTGTTTTGGTAAAACATTAAAAAATCTGATACTGCCCATTTCAAAGAGAGATAACCATCTTTTCTCCATGTAACACAATGGCTTCTTTAGAATCTCCACATTGGTTTAAATTAAACAATGGGAACGTACCAATTAAACCAGAACTATTTCTTAATTTTGTTTACCTTGGTCACATCATGGCGGTGATATTTCTACTTAAGTATAGATGTCAGCAGCTTCAATTTGTGTGACCAAGATAAACCCAACTCCAAGTGAAATGAAACTTTTTCTTTGAAAAAAAGTGTTAGAGAATAATCCATCTATACAAAAGAAATAAAGAAGCATATATTAAGCTGGCTTTACTATTTAGAAAATGTAAGGATGTTTCATCTTTTTTCATGCCCTATTTTCAACTTCAAGGTGCTCTCCTTGAGATTTTCCCCACCAACACTAATTTTAAGACGGTCTCTCCATGTGTAGAATCAGGGAATTATATCATAGCCCAACATCTATATATGGTTTGAAAAAAGATGCAATCCTTTTTTTAAAATCTTTTATATAGTTTCATTGTATACAGAAGAGCACATGAAAAAAAAATGAAATAAAACTGCCCACTTTCTCCACACATTTGAAAATATAGAATTTAGAACTTTTGAAATATAAAAATCAGGTTAATTGAAACAAAACACCTTAGATTTGTAACCAGGCGCAATTTATTTTATCTTTCATATACATTGTATACAGAAGAGCACATGAAAAAAAAATTCTAAAACTGCCCCCTTTCTCTGAACTCAAATCATTGTGCACAATAAATAGGCAAACAATCTGTCCTAAGCACTACTTTTCTCCCCATGCTTTACATATAAATGCTAAATGCTGTTAAACGATTGTAAAAGCAGATTACGGGAACTCATCTTAACCTATAAATCCTTGTACAATTTCCCCAGAGGTCTGCGTGCTTGCCATGTAAATCAGTGCTTATAATTCAGTCTGGGCTCTCAGCAATGTACAGTAATTTGCGTGCCTATTTTATTCTGCAGTCTGATTATAAACTTACACCTGCACTTAAGTAATTATAATTTTGGCCACCTCTTTAACAAAAGAAAAAAAGACCCCCACATAAAACCAATACATTGTTAAAAAGGCAGGGGGCAAATATCATACCACCTATAAAGTAAATACAATGATAGTCATCTTACTTACTATACACTATTATAAACACAAAATACATTTGAAAAATCCCTTACAGGTAACTTATACATATTTATATTTCATTACTTTCACCAACAATTCTACACAGTTTAGATTCTGTTTGAATGAACAGATTGAAATCCATCAGCAATACTAACATCTATGTATGATACGTGCAAACTCTATGTTTACTAAGTTATGAATTTGTGTCTGTACATAAAATGTACAATGAACATTCTGGACGGAATCAAAATCATAAGTCCTGTATAAGTGAGACACTTAGCCTCGGACACACTGTGTGTACATTTGTGTAGTTTTAAAATTCTTGACCACTGGTCACCTTGTAAGCCTCTAAAAACAGATTGTCAGTAAAATTTCAGTTATATAATAATAATAAGAAGAAGAAGAAGAAGAAGAAGAAGAATAAAGAAAATAGAATGTGCTATCTTTTACAAAATTTATCACCAAACCATCATAACTGTATCCTATGACTGGCAGTTATTCCGAGATCATGACCAGTTGACTGACCTGCACATAGTAAGGTATGCAGTCATTTGGTTGAGAACTGAAGCATAAATGGGGTTCTTAATACCACAATAATTCTGAAACTCAGATTATGCATTACCAAGTCCAAGTCAACTGAAAGTTAGTTGTTGAAATGGTTACAACAAGAAAGAAAGATATGGATACCCAACTTCAGTTTTTGCTATCACAAGCCTCAGATTTAGGAGCACGAATGCCCAAATGGACGACACCATCCATGATTTCAGTCCACGAATGGAAAATAAAACTTGGACACAGACAATATGGCCAGCCTTAATCCCAGTCTCTGCCTGTACACATGCATGCTCTTTTTTTCATCAACATGGTAGAAGAAATGGGAAAGAGCATGTTGCATCTTTCGGAGATTCCTAGTTGAAAAAGAGTTACATATACTCCTCTTTCTACTTCCTTGACGAAAGAAAAAGGATTAATAAAAAGTGTAAAAACAAATTAAGCTGATGTATCCCTATACCCTTCTATCCACACTGAATATTAATATGGCAGCAATGCATTCCTTACAATCTTGGGGACATAAGAAATTTATCGAATGGCTGGTGAATTTATGGTTTGTGTTTTGAAGCACAGTGCTTGGCGGTTGTTAATTTTACATTGGTGCTATGAAATTGTGGATCAAGTTGTTAATCTGGGCATTCTCTCTCACAGATCTGAGGCTGATGTTTGCAAACAGCTAATCCATTTATAAGGTCTTTTATTTTTATTCTCAACTGATGACGATTTCATGGTCACGCTCAGAGTGCCCTCTGGTGGTTTAAATCTGAAGCAGTCATTCAAAACAAAAATAATAATAATAATAAAAATATAAATAAATAAATAAAAAATCAACTTTCCTCACAAAACATCAGTAGAAAGTTTGTCCCCTTTATCATCATGCAAAGTTAACGCCAGCTTGGTTACAATTAGCATTAAGTCATTTAACTTGATCTGAATTGGAACCATGAGAGCTTAAGTTAAGAGAGCCCATAAGGATAGTTTCACTCGCTCTTTTCAATGGGAAAAAGTGTGAATTTTACCTAAACTGTATACTTTAATGTCTTAAATTCTTTAAATTCAACATTCCTACTGAATGGACGCAACAAAATTGAAAAGCAGGCTACCCTATAGTTTTATTCTACAAAAGCACCACAAAAATCCTATAGAAAAATACAGCTTTCATGGATTCCAAAATTATGTACCTATCTGAAAGATTGATAATTTCGAAAAAATATGACTCGTTACCTTACTACCCAACTGCTTATTTTCACATTCAATCATCCAGCAAGAAGTATATACAACACAACCAATTTTAACTGCAAGCTACATCTATTGCGGGTCAGTTTGTTTGTTTTAAAATTAGCAAGTTTGCACGCTTTTCGAGTGTGACCTTTGGTGCACAAGTACATGCATGAAGCTTACTTCTGCATCATACGTGCACGTGGCATAGTTGATACAACTGTCAGTGGCTGCGAAAAGTCAGTCAAATGCTACCAAACTTCACATTTGCATATTTGAAAACGAAAATGAAAAAGCAGGTTATTAAAAGGAAAAGTTCAGCAATACAACTAATGTTACCACTGTGACAGTAAAAATATTGGCATTCAGAGGTAAAATTAAGATTTTTTCAAAAAGTCTCCATCAATACATCGTGCTGTGAAACTCAGTGTAATGGATACTGGGTAGAGGAGTGTCATATTAAAACCGCAATCATAAAACTTGGGGCATACTGTACATGACATGTTCGGAATTTGGTTAAATTATGTATATGCTCCATTGCAGTCATTAAGCATCTAAGTCAAGATTCCAATTTTTCTCTTAGCACTATAATGACTAGAATAAAGCCTGCGAAATGAGAGAGAAACATTTCATGCAATAACAAAGGTACTATGATCACTGTGCTACTACCGTATGTGATCAATTTCACACCAAACATGTTAATTTTCAAGATCAAATGTAATACATTATCCTACCTTAAATAAGGCACAACCGACCAAAAATGCACTAACTGTATTGACATATTTACAACTGAAACATTTATCGAATTACATGAAATGTGAAACAAGTAGAAAGTGAAAGAAATGTTTCAATATAACAGTGCAAATAAAGGGAAGGACCAATCCTGTATTTTCATGAGAGAAAACAACAATTATCTAACAAATACAAGCCCAGATCAGACAACATTTATATTTGTCACAAAAATTAAATACCTGATGTTAGGCTTTGGCATTTTCATTTTAACATAAAAGAATTAGTAACTAATTGATTTTCAATAGTCTGGGATCACAACCAGAGTTGGAATTAATTCTTCTAAATTCCTGAATTAGTTCTCACAACACGATGAAATGCCTCTTGGCTTTTAAATAATAATAACAGTGAAAATTTCAATTAAATTAAATTCTTAATAAAAATGGGAACATTGGGTTGAAGGGTTGGAAGTAAATAAAAAGAAAGTCACAAAAGTAAGGTATCATTATGGAAAATGCAGTCAACATAACTGACTCAAAGAAACGACGCAGAGGAAAAAAAAAAACAAAAACAATTTACTACTATGTTAAAAACAAACTTATCATTGAACTGTATCTACTTTGTACCACACAAAAAGCTTTGTTTTTTGGGTCGTTTCCCTAGCATGATCTGTCTATATTATAAAGACAAGTATCAACAATAAACTCTCACCTAAACCCTGATCCATGACATGAAAAGGCATTTTTCCTTATATCTATCATATAATAGGATAAAACACAACATAGGGCTTGATCTTCTTACCAATATATAATAGTCTTCAAAACTCATTACAAAATATAACTTAATATATCATACATGTATATCTCTAAACAACATTTCATATATGTTACAAACACAAAAAGGTATAATATACATATAACACAATTTACATTCAAATCTACATAATATATAAAACACAATATATATATAATTATATAATGTAGAATATGTGTATATTATAATGAAAGTCATCATTCTCTGTATTATATTAACTCTGGACGGTTTCAGTAATATAACTGCATGTCACACAGAAATAACTATATCTTTATATTTACAAACAAATGCATGGATTTGCATCAATACGTAAAATATTCTTTAAATAGATATCATACTCATGGAGAAAAAAATAAGTCATCATTAAATAGTCTCAGAACATGTTGCTGCAGTTATCTTTTGTACAAAGTTTTTTTTTTCCTTGGACACTTTTAAAAAGATAACAACCAGGTTTGTGTCCACTTGTGGTCAAATTTTCTGATCTTTGGTCAGTAGTTTAGGAAACATCACCCTGTAGCAATCTCTTCCTCTTTTAGAAAAACCTTTTTTAGCAGATTGTGAACTGATTAACTCAAGAAACACAACTGGGCTCCTCTTGGCTGCACTGCAGTGCTGCTTTCACTGCCTCACATTTTAATGCCAGCCTTGTCTTCCGTTTGTCTTGTATGCTCAGTGAAATTTTCTCCAGTTTCTTCATACATCCACTGCTCTCTTTATAAACATATGGTACCTAAGGATGGGACTGTCTTGCAAGAGCAGTGCTGCTCTCTAATGTCTGGTAAATATACATAGCTGCTGCCCTCTACAGTTCTGTGGTACACAAACTTTTTTCTCAAGTCCTGCTGTTCAATAAGTGCAGGTGGCAACCCCATGAGAACCTTGTCAAAAAAGTCGAAATTTTTATCTATAACAGTTTATCGTAGTCAAACTCAAACTCTATTTCATCTGATGGCTTGCTGTTGTACTGCGGTGGCGGCTGACGTGGAGGAGGTGGAGGATTCATTGGCATGTGTTGGTTGTAGCTACCAGAATGCTGAAAAAGACAAGCAACAATCGTATGGTTATAATTATATGTGAAATAAAGTAAGAATCATTTAAGAGGCTGACAGGTGGAATAGGTAAATGCTTTTTATCCAAGAAAAGTAAAAAAAAAAAAAAAAAAAAAAAAGTGTTAAATTTATGTCACTTTTTAGTAAAACCTAAGATACATAAAGAGATATCTGGGTCTCATCTATTGGCTTCAATTTAATCCCAGTATATCCTAATATATCTTTTTCAGTCTGCAGTTGTGAATGTGGTCGTAGACTGCTGGATGTGACAAGGTGGCTTACCTGCATCTGTCTTGGGCTGATCTGAGGACTAAGAGAGCGCTGAGAGCCAGGTGTGACAAAGTGGCTTACCTGCATCTGTCTTGGGCTGATCTGAGGACTAAGAGAGTGCTGAGAGCCGGGTGTGGGGGGCATGAGATGGGTTCCACTGTTACTCATAAGGGATCCTGCCTGGGAGCTGGAGTGACTGTTATAGTTGCCTGAAAGTGGAGACAGGAAACAGGTTTTAGGTACATGTTTGGGCTTCTCTTGGCTGAGGACATGTGCTGCCTCTACTGCAAATTTTGTACCAAATGAAGCATGAATCACTGTAGTTCTTTAAAGTAATATCATAAAGTGAATGTAACTGTAGAGGCCTGAAAGTTAATAAGAACATGATGTAATTATCAATCACTTCATCTATGCAGCCGCTCATTGAAGTCTGACTGCATCATTAATGTGTAAAAACATGCTCACTGAGCCCCGATTCGTGGAGTTGGTCTTAAATCAGTTGGAATGAATTTTACCCACAATGTAACTGATACAAATAAAAAAAATAATTACCTGAGATAGAACTAGAAGCTGAACTGTGATGGCTATTGTGGCTGTTAAAGAGGTCATAGTTCACCTGGACCCCCTGCTGAGACTGCTGCAGGATCCCCGCCTGCTGGAAAAATGAATTTAGCGACGACGCCAGGTCTGCAAACTCTTGTGGATTCAGAGACCAGTTATTCTGGTCCGCTTGCTTCATGCTTTCCATCAAACCTGAATGCAAATAATTCAGTATAATATCTACTTATCTTCAATTTTCCACAATTATTTTTTGATCTCACTTAAAGTCAAAGTATTCTGACTATAATAATAATAATTTAACTTGAGAATTTGAAAATTCTTTAAGTTATATGTACATGATGCAAAAAATCCCCTGTAAATGTGTGTGTGTGTGAGTGTCTGTCTTTGCGTCCTTCACAAAAATCAAGAGCAAAGTAAAAGTTCTATTTTTTCCTTTTACTTTTTGGCTCTTCAACTAATAATATTTTTCTACTGACAATCATTTTTTGAGATCAGCCGACTTGTTCTCTCTCTTAGGAGCACACCCCCCCCCCCCTCCCACACACACACAAAGGCGGCATTCAGATCTAGTCTGCGTGTCAAATATGGTGACCCACTACAAAGCTTGACACATGCACACACACATGCACACACACACACGCACACACAGTGACACTACCTTGAAACTGTGTCATATCAATATGTTGCCAGTCAAGCTGGCTGGTCCCTGCCAACCTCACACTCTCCTTCAATGCATCCAGATTGGCCAGCCAATCTATGTTAGAGGCAGACAGGCTCTGGTTGCCTGCTGAAAAAAAAGGGAGAAAAAATGAAAATAAAGTAAAATAACAATGAATTGATGTGCAGGAAGTAATTGTGTATGTTGCACAAGCATTAATTGACATGGAACTTAATTGTTAAAAATAAATAAATAAATAAGTAATAATAATAACTATTATAAACATTTTAAAAATATTCCACTGCCCATGTTGTGAAGCATTAAGAGGCCCATTTGTTTTACCATTTGAGTGGGCACACATATCTCTATATATTCAGCTACAAAACACCTCTTTTTCAGACACAAATTACAGGCATGCCTTACACAAAATAAATGAAGAAATTTATTAATTTTTTGTACCAAAGGTTACGCTAGCCTAAAACATGATCATGCCTTTCAAATTGTTAATTCTAATGTAACTTATTATTATTATTATACAATATGCTCTTTACTTTTCACACATTATACTGCTGTTTATTATTCATAAGCACATGGCAATAGACATTTCTCGATTGCTCTCTTCACAGAGGAGGACTTAGCATCAACTGAATCAGATACTTTGCCTAGGTGAAATAGGTTTTTATGGAGTGGTTAATATAACAGGCAGAAAATGGTGTTAAGTTTCAGGGGTATGGTGAAAAGGTTAAGCACTGGGCCGCATATTTTTGGTTTACTTGGGTTTGGGGAGAAGATGTTTTAAGTCATAGTTACTAGTAAAGCTTAGGATGAGGTACATCATTAGTAATAAGTCTTAAGTCATGTTAGCAGTCAAGTTGGGTCAATTTTGCTCAGTGCAGCCAATCTCAACAGGCTGTCTGATTGCAATTAGATCACTGTAGACAGCCTATCTGATCCCTCTCTTGTCCCGCCAACCATCATAATATTGAATCAGATGTGTGCCAAAGTATTGGATTTCCATGACAAGTAAATTTTTTATCCTAATCAAAATCCGGGCTGCTTCTGTGTGTTGCACTGAGCTAGGTGGACCCAATTTTAAGGAAAACACAACATTTTGATGTTGAAAGAATTATCTAGGTGACATAAGGAAGGACATTTGTATACAGAAACGGCTTTTATGCAGGATTACAAGCTTCCATGCTTCATTAGGAAGCAGACTGATGATCACAATGTTAAAATGGACTCAAGGTTATTTTGGGATATTAATCATGACAAGGTTATGAAAATATCTTTGATGCAAAATTATTTTTTAAAAATCACTGCTGACATCTACTGCAAAAGGCTGCTTCATGCTTCAATACAGTCCTGTTAAACTTAATCTTTTACAAGGGACTTCAAAAATATTAGTTTATTAGAAAGATGTAAGTAGGAAGCTTATAGTTATGATATTTTAAAACAACATGAACTACTGACTTGTTGCATGCAAGTTCAGGGATAGAAATCTCTACTTCCAGGTAAGCAAGGTTGGATGCATCACAAGATTTGCCAGGGTAATGGCTCAGAATTCCCTTCTTCCTCCCCTTTTCAAATTATTTTATTACGTCTAATGAATACTCTTTAGTTCCCCAAAAAATTTAAAAACTTTTGACTTGAATGCAATTCACAATTCAGCGTCTTTTAGAGACAATTTAAGATGTTCACTACAACAAAATATTTTAAAAAATTTTTATAAGCTTTAAGTGAAAAACCATGACGGCATAATTTCATGCATTTAATCGAAATTCAATATTAACTTAGATTTGAACATTTCATTTAGTTAATGTTTTTCCTTTGGTAGTAGCATGCAAGCTTTGGAGGAAATAAGAAGTACACAATTTCTTTCTTTCTTTTCTACTCTCTCTTTTTTTTTGGCAAATACAAGACTAATCAAGCAATAAAAGCACTACATCATAGAGTGAAGATGAGACCAATATTTCCCCACAAATACAGTGTCAGTGATGATTTCTATCCCTGTATGAAGACATACCACAAGTATTTGTACATCCTTGGACATTGGGGAGAGAGCGACTATAGCTCTGTCTACTGCAGGATGAGTAGCTAGAGCTATAGCTGCCCTGAGAACAGCTAAATGAGTGACCTAGAAAACGGACAACAGTGAAGAAGGTTAAGTATAACTACCACCGTGCAGAAAGAGAGCAAAAATAACAGAGTTCAAGACATGTTTAAGAGTAAGTGAGTAATGAAAGTAATTAAAAATAAAAAAACTAAATATTAAAACAAATGTCAAAGATAGGATGCAGGATAACAGCTGAACTACTCATATTCTAAACAGAAAAGTGAATTTAATTAATGCACAAGATAAATTCACAAATAATCATATTCTAGTGTATTAAGCTAAAATTCTTAACAAGTGACCTAGAAATAGGACAACATTGGGAGCATCAAACTTGAACTATTTACAAGACACAAGAGAGATGAATATTACATATGTGGCAAAGATGAGGACAATTTGATGAGGAAAAAATAATTTATTAAACAAAATAATCAATCCTAAAGGAGATTATTTTAAAGAGGGGCATATCTGTTCTTCATAAACGCAATAGTTAAATATCAGTAAAAGGGGCAGGGTGGGTGGGTGGGAGGACCAGTAAAATTATGCAAAAGTGCAAAAACTTTCAGTTGAAAGTGTGAATAAAATATAGGTGTGAATAACATTAACATGTAAGAGGGTTCTGAGTCTAATAAGAATAAAAAAAAGTGCAGAATATTTTTTAAGTTGACCACTCTCCATGGACATATCTAATATGGTGATCCAACTTAAAACAGATCTGTTTCAAATCTTCACACCAAAGCCTTAAAATAATCCAAACAATTTTTCGAGCAATTTGCTAAAAACAAAGTGTGAGAAAAAGAGAGAGAGAGAGAGGGAGAAAGAGAAAGAGACTGCATTTGAAATGAAACCATGGTGTGCCATTAGCTGACCATCCCTATATTTCATAAAAAGATGAAATCTTGTGGTTCACTTACCCTGCTGTGATTGATTCACAAATGGCCCAAGCCCTAAATTTCCGCTGTTAGTAAGTGGCGGAACTTTCCCTGTAAACAAGTAGTGGACACTTATCAAGTTATTTTGATATGGGAATCACACCTGCAGCTGTGTCAGAATAGTTAATTAAAAGCCCGTAGGTGGGAGGGGTTTGGGTGAGTGGCCGAGAGGGGGGGTGGGGGGTAGGGGGCTTAAAGAAACTGCCAAAAAGGTGTGCTATGAATGTAAATACCACTTAGGTTCAATGTCATTTCTCAATGTTTGTGAGGTAATTGGACGGGGTGGGGTGGGGTGGGATGGGCGAGGGCAGAGAGGTAGGGGGTGTTTCAAGGTCTAAAAAAAATAATAAATAAATAAATAAATAAAAACCGACATGATACAGAACTGAACTGACCAGTAAGTACCAGTTTGAAAATGAGTCAGAAGTTAAAGCCATGGAGAAAAGAGGAGGAAACTACAGGTCCACACTGGACATGATATTTCACTGCTTTTCACACAGTAAACAACACTGCATACACTTCTAGGATACCAATTAAAAATATTAAAAAAAAAAAGACATGTTAAGAAAAAAATTTGCACACTGTCAAATGAAATTTGGTCAAAAATAAATTAAAAGAAATTTTATTCAAAATGATTTTTTTAAAGAAAGTACATAGAAAAGACACAATCTCTTTTTAAAAAAAAAAAAAAAAAAGGGGGAGAGCCGATGAAAATTTTTCAGCAAACTAGCCAAAATATTTGTGACCAGGGGAAAAAAGTCTGTGAAAAAAAAAAAGCAGTAGAGGACAAACTATCAAATCACCAAGAGTAAGAAGACACACGTCACTCTTGAGCTGCATACCGTGACCATTTCTAGCTTCCTCCTCCTCCTCCTCCTTAATAAAATTACACGCGTTTTCTAAATCACCACTATGTGGTAACGACTGGACGGGGTTGCCGCCTACGACTGACGGAATCTGACTGGAACTGAGGCGCAGCTGAGTGCTACTACTGCCCAAAAATTGCTGTAAGCCAACTAGAACAAAATGGTAACGTTACAAGAATTTTTATGGCTTTAGACATACAAAATTGAATTATTTCCCACTCCTTCAAAATGAATGCGTATATAAATGAATCCATAAATAAAAAGCATAAATATATAACATTATGTCTCCAGAGAAGTGATGTACTACAATACGCCGAAGTCTGGGGACTTCCAGAAATTGTCAGAAGCCAAACCAAACAATGAGGTTATCAAATGCCTTCACTTTATACAGAATACCTTCCTGTAATGTCAAGACGGGTGCTAATACAAGTATCATTACTATAACAGTAAAATTCAAGCTATATCAACTTAAAAGCTGTGGCAGAGACAGTTAGCAAGATATTTCTCACACCTTTGCCAATGTCTGCACATGTCGTACACCCACCAGCCACACACAAACGACTAACCTCTATCAAATATTTGTTAGCCTTACCAATATACGGAACATTATTATCAATATTGATACAGACGCATCATCATGTGAACTTTCAAACTACGTAACACATAAAACCCATATCAATCAAATTCCAATCTAGTCTGAAGACTTTATTGCATAAGAAAGGTGATCTAAGGTACAGAATGTATAATGTGAATAACTGATTACCTTGTGAGCTTTCAAAGACAGACTTGTACAGGCTCCTGAAGGAGGCACTAAGATCTTCAAAAGCTGGGTTGTTTTCAACGAAGGAACTCCGAAGAGGCTGGAAAAGAAAAAGAATTTAACTTAAAAACAATTACTAGACTAATAAATTAAACACAATAGTATACAAGCTTTAATAACAGACACTTCACTGAACAAGAGTGAGGACAAGGATATTATTAAACACAACTACCCAAAATTTATTAAATTTCATAAAAGATTGTCAAACCCCATTATCAGTTCCGTTTTCTTAGACATCTGATCACAGCAGGAGATCAAAGGGCATTCAAAGCTGATTTCTAACAATGTTTTGTGCAAATGTTGGAAGTGCTACTAAAACTCACTGATAACACTGAAAATATTGCCAAACTCCTTAAGAGGGACTGCAGGAAAGAAGACTGGTTATAGGGCAGTTAGGGATGCTAAGAGCTGGAGGGTGGGAGTTTGGGGGGGGGGGGGGTAGTGCCTATCCCTCTCACCATGGAAAAAGCTCGTATCAGACTGAAGACACCAAGTGTTTATTTATTAGTCCAAATTTTGAAGAGATTAAATAATGAGCAATTTGACACTTTTTTTTACATATTGAGGTATTCATGATAGCATGTTAGACACAAAAGTATTATGAAAACATATACAGAGCACTAATGGTGTTGTATGGTTGATGTTTTTGACTACGTTTTTCCTTTTTCACAGTAGGGGACATGTCTAGCCTTGATTTTTTTGCCAATGTGACATGAAGAATAACAATAATCAGTGCTTGGTATTCTTGAAAAAACTTTCAGCTACGTATGACACAAGAAGGATATAACATTGTTCCCAATCAGGACAAGGAGGCACTTGTGAACTTTTCTATCTATGTTAACTGATGGAAAACAATGTAGAATGTTTAACTTGATGAAAAACAGTACTTTGGTTTTTGTAGTATAATTTTTTTATCACTTTTAGTTGTTCACAAAATACATGTTGTAATTACTGAAATGACCCAAACATGCTGTCAAAGAAAAAAAACCTCAGGAATTGAATAACAATTTACATTTTGTACAGAAATTTAGTCTAGATGTGCCAGAAAACTAAACTTAACAATATTAATTGGTCATTTTGAGTCATTTCCACTTGGAAGAATTATGACATTCAACATCTGGGATTTAAAAATCTGCTGGAATTTTCAGGAAAACCAAATCTATCCATCTTTCCAATCCTTAAGTGTTTTCAATCTTTAATCAATTGCAAGTATGTGTATAACTCTGGTCCAAGCGGAGCTTTAAATGACACACAAGTCTTAATAACCATTTTAATGAAAATAACTGTTTGGTATAGAAACAACACCTTCAAATCGTTTATTTTCACAGTCTCTACAAGAATATGTCTTAACCTGTTAATTTAATTATCAGCTAAGCCAGGGGTGGGAATATTCATAAAGAAAAAAGCCAGTATTAAGCCTTTGTGCTTTGAGACATCCATAGTCTTGAATTCTGTTTTAAATAGTAAGCAAAATTGTAATTTTACATTCATTACTGAAAAAAGAAATCTTAAGTTTTGGGATATTCACAACTGTTGTCTAAAACAGAAAACAAGAACATAAAAAACAAACATGAGAGAACCCTATTGGGGCCAAACATCCATTTTTCACCACCACCAGCCAGAACAGAACAACAGTTGTTCACTTGACAGAAAAACAATTCTGAGTCATTTAAACCCATACCACAACAATGTGGAGCAACTGGACATTCCAACCACAGTGCCTTCATAAAAAACCTGGCTTTTCAACAAAGAGCCGTCCCAACAAAGAGAAGTTCCGTTTGAACCATCGGCCAACTGGTTTTCCAGGTACCAGAGTTACTGGAGCATTTTCTAAGAATGGTTTCTTAAAAGTCCCCCTACACAAGGCCAATCTCTCTTTCTGAATGCAGCTGTATTGTAGAGTAATTCTTCATAAATGGACTAAATCCTCCTTTGAAGTTCTGATGCAAATTTCACCAGTATTCTTTTGTTTTTATTGTGCAGAAGAGGGTTGCTTATTTTTTTTCACTCAATATACAATCTTGCACATATCTATATATCAAACTACTTTATTTATATTCTATTTATATTCTGCTTTATTTATCATGCATCACACATACACAGATGGGCTATAAACTAATAGCTTGGTAAAACTGCGACACAAAATAACAGATTTCCTTCAACAAGAACCCAGGCACAGGGCTGCTACTCACCGTCTGCCCTGCTGAATGTTGTGGTGAGAAAGAGTTATGCATATTGATGGTGTTCAGTGTAGGGGATCCCATGCTGTTGTTGGAACTACTGAAACTGCCATCGGGACTGTAAGGAGAGAGCTGAAACAAAACAAACCAAAACATAAATCTATAATTTAACTAACGAATGGTCCCCAAACACTGAAGAACAAGTTTTATCTTGCCTTGTTCTAAGACACATGGAACATTGCTGGGTGGCTTTTTATCAACAACACCACAGTTTTTTTTCTGGTCATTGATTTTCTTTTTTCTTTTTTACTAAAAATGATATTTTTCGATGTGTAGAAGAACAGAGAACAACCCACTGGACAACCAACATTTCATCTTCAGTGGAGGTAGGTTTTCGAATTTGGTCTTTCACGAAACAGGCCCAGGGCGAAGTTTCTTCCCCCCCCCATTCCCCCTTTGGCCCCTAAAAGCCCTCATCTGTCCTTCAATCCCAGTAAATCTTACCCTGTCACTGGACCTCCTCTTCTTTGTTCTTCCAGGAATGCTATCATCTGGTGGATTACTGTCTATTGCCCAATAGGAACCCTGAAAGCAGAAAAGACGGTGTCATTTAGCGAGTTAAAGCGTGCATGCGTGAGTGTGTGCGTGCACGTTTGCAGGTCCAGTCTTATTTTTTTTAACTTGCAATAACTGAAATTCATCATTTTTTAATTTATTTTTCATTATTATAACACAAAATCGGTATGGACAGGTTCGTAAACAAAAGACATTTACAGTAGACAAGAACTGAATCATGCTTGGAGGGTTTTTTTAAGTATGTGGCAGTTAGTCAGATTTATAATTTGACCTCAAAAATAATCTTAATCATACATATTTCAATGGGAATTTGTCATACGAATGCAATCTTGTATTTCTCAATCGTTTTCTGCAGTCCAGATCCCCTTACAGTTGTGGCAACAGGACAAACAATCTGGTCGTTAAAGCCTTTCCCCTTTCTAGATTTTACAGAAAAGCAAACCCCAAAAGAAGAAGTCAAATGAGGAATGGAAAAAAAGCCAAGTGAAAAAACATTAAAAGATGCCCCGCCCCACTCCCTCGGTTGTGAAATATCCACTATTCATAGAAACACATACAGTATGTATCAATAGCCTTGAATGAAAATAAGGTCAAGGAATTCCCTCTCTAAAGAATAGCTGGTATATTTCAGAGACATTGTTTTGGTTACCTCAAACAAACAGTAAGGGCAAGCCCGGTCGCCGGGGAGTGTGGTGTGAGAATTTATTTATAGCAAAATCTAAAGAGGTCATTCAATACAAACAAACCCCCCTAAATATATACTAAGGAGAATTTCTTGTCAATAAACTAAAAACTCTTGCTCCAAAGCTCTTTTAAGGAATTTCTTTTTTCGTAAATTATTCAATGCCCGATTATAAAAAAGAAAAGATTTCATTGATTCCTTCTTTGGTGTCTTTGATTATTTCTGGGTCAGAAACAGGAAACAATTCAAAAAGCAATTTTGCTGATAAGTGTGTTATTTCACACACTCAGGTGATTGAACTCGCATTGCGCAATGTTCCAGTTACTGGACAGTCAGTGCGAACATTTTGCTGTCCTGTTTTGAAGTTTTGGAATTTCAAATCTTTACATAACTTTTAGTTTCTTTTTCTTTTCTTTACTTCCATTAAAATTTTGATAAGAATTTAAGTTAATAAAGCATACCAAGTATGACCTCAGTCCTGTCTACCTATCACACACAATTAGCAAAATTAATTTAAGGTCAAAATGTGTCTAAATCTACAATATTGGACAGCAATTAATATTTTAAGGGCTTGGGCTTTATTTAGTCTGCTTTGCATCCAGAGTAAATCAAAAACTACACATATTCTATACTGAGAAGTACTATTCCAAGTTTGAAGTCCATTATAGACAATTATAATTTATTTGCAGACCTATGAGAATCTGTACAAAATCGTGCAACTTCCACTTGGAAATTAAACATTCCGTGAAGAGGCAAACAACTATATGTATGCAGAACCCTCATATCCTTATACTAGTAAACTATGTGCTTAATGACTACATAGTTTTGTACACACAGTTACATAATAGGCTTGGACAGATATGAAATAAGAGAAGTCAATTACAGGAAATCAGTCAGACTGGAAGATGGGCAGGCAGGTAGACAGACAGGCAGACAGACAGACAGACAAGCAGACAGGTAGAAAGACGGACAGACAGACAGACAGACAAGCAGACAGGTAGACAGACTGACAGACAGATAGACAGAAAGACAAACAGACAGTCGACCAAGTCTGGAATGATCGGACAGAGAGATATACACTTTTTTCTGACCCCCCTCTCCCTGATGTCTTATTATACTTTCAGCATTGTTTGAATCAAAACAATGAACAACAATGTAAATCTTGTGACATTTTAATGACATTTTCAAACCATATAAAACAAAAAAGTATTTCATTTTATTTTGACTTATTTTCTTAATTGGAAATAGAAGAAAAAAAATCTTACCTTGCCTGGGTCATCTTTTGATCTAGGTACTTTGAGAAAACACTTATTTAAAGAGAGATTATGTCGTATTGAATTCTGAAAAGAAGAGGAAAAGAACAATTTAACACAAACATCACATAAAAAAGATAATTCAATTAAAATAGAAAAAATTGTTGATTTGGTATCAAGGCTTTGCCCAGCGAACTGTCCAGCATCACCAGAGGACAGTGTTTGCCTCTTAGGAAAATTAGTTGCGGGACCGAAAGTTCAGCCATCTTGAGAAGTAGCTGGCTCAAATGTCTGCCGGGTGGGAAAACTTCTCAACCCGTTCTGAAAGTTGTCAGCCCCAGGCAGATGGTCCAGCCTTTATTTCTAACACTGCCAAAGGACCAATATTTTCAAAGACAGCTGGACAACTTATGAAATTTTTTTTTGAAAAATGATGGCTTGGACTCCCTGAAAGTTTGTAGGAAATTACAGGTGATAATTTTAGACAGGCTGTGCCCCCAAATCCTAGGAAAAGCCCTGTTTGGTATACAGCTGTTACATATATATATATATATATATATATATATATATATGATAAAAAGGTGTCCAGGTTTAGGACATGTCCTGACATTACGGGTAATTCATGACATCCAAAGCATTCGGGTTCAGGGCATTTCATGACACAGCAATCAAGTTAAGGACATCTCTTGTAATGGTTTATGGATTTTAGAGAAAACATGTATTTGTGACTGAAATACCACAACTGAGTTTTACTTTTAAATTCTCAGTGGTAGCAAGTATAGCTATGTCTCTCCACAGCAGATTCATTCTCGAAATTGGACAAAATGTTATGCTTCTGTTAATTCTCTGTTAATCATGTCTGACAACTTTTCCCAACTAATTGAATAATTTAAATGACCAGGTGCATGAGAGAATTACTACCTCTAAACTTACACCTGTTCATATGTAGGTCATATAATAACCTGTTCACACAGGGAAATAACTTGGATGGAATACTTACCTGTTCATTTCAAGACCTAACTTAGAGCGCATTCTCAACGAATTAAGCCAGGCTTTACAAAGCCGGTGACCTAAAAATGGCGGACGTACATGAAAGAAAAACCACCCAAACTTTTAATANAGCCTGGCTTAATTCGTTGAGAATGCGCTCTTAGATCACATAGTAGCTGTTCATATCAAAACCTAAGATAGATCATTCAATCACCTGTTCATGTGTTCTAATTTAGTCATGATGTGAACATGTGAAATATCAGCACTCATCCTTCTGTCATTTTTGACAGTCTATGACAAAACATGGGCATTTCACACAGGGACATTAAGAACAAATGACTTTCAGATATATTTGGGGCTCTAATTCAAAGCATTTATCAAGGACATGGAATGTAAACCTGGGCTGTCATCTATATGGTAAAAACTGAATTTTACAAATACTGTACTTTTTTAAAAGTCATAAATTCTTAACCTTTTGAGTTGTAGCAAACAAAGAAAAAAATTAAGCTCTTAACCAAAAAATGGACGGTTCCACGGTTATATGAAATAATTCTGCTTGGCCAGAAAGCACAGCCAGAAAGGAATAATACACTAGTGATTTGCCCAATTAATGTATTATATGCATGTATAGCACAGAGAAACTGGGAACTGCTTACATAATATAACATAACATATTGATTTTTACCATAAAATTATTCAAAACATTTTACTGAAACTTTTTTTTCCAAAGTAACTGGATGATGTCACTGAAATATCAGTAAATACAATTCCTTGGAATCACGAACAATCTTAGCGATAATAGCCGTACATTAAGTTATTTGTTTGTTATAAAACACCAGCAATCACTTTATTCATTTATTTGCATTATAATAATTATTATTATTGTTTTCATTTATATAATTAAACTAAAATAAACTTGTTTCAACCGAAAGAAATCATTAATTTGCAAGCCTGGAGATGCACAGTGATTTTTGGTTAAAAAATTTTAAGACATAACTAGCAAGTTGATTATTAGAACATTCCTTGGACTTGTCTTTTCCATGGCGAATCTGACAAATACCGCTAATCAGTACCATAACAACTTGGCACTAAAATAAACTTAACTTCTGTGAACAAATGCTACGTAAAAACTGAATTAGACAATTTACACCTAAAACCTACAACGTCATACTGTCCTACATGACACTTGGAAATGAAGCATTTGTCATTTAGGTACCTAATATTTAATGAAAAATTATCTGTATCATGTATTGAGTTATCTAAAAAGTATGGAATTACTGTAACCAAAACCTAATTAAATAATTTGATTGCAAGATTCTCATTTAGTGTCTAGACTTTTCTATCTTAGTTAGATTTTTCGATCATGCAGAGAAAAACAACTTGACACACATGGACTCTTTTATGGTAGTACAGCAAGACTTTTACTTATGTTACTGCAAAACTCTTTGATTGACATAAAAACTGATGTCTTTACACTTACAGGAATGCTGCATGACACCAAATTGCTGAACATTTTTTAATAAAAATGATAATAAAAATAATAACTCATGACTACCATCATTTTCTTATTTATTTCTTTATCTATATATTTTTTCCTTTAGCACATTTGCAATATCACATTTATAGTTATGGCCAGAATTTGAGTCTTGAAACAGATTTAAGACTGTGGCACAAACAATCAGATGTTTGTTTTATTCTTATCCTTTTTTTTCTTTTTTTTTTTTTTAACAGCTTATCATATGTTGACTAAAAAGTGGGATGGGAAAGTCCATAGTGCTCCCCGAAATCTTCCCCTCCTTAAATTTTTTCTTTACAATTTCTATCTTTGCCAGCTCAGTTTCAGGAAATTAATATTTGACAAACAAATCTTATGTCAGATTATCAGCCACCAAATTGAAACTCTGAACATAAACTTCTTTTTTTCTACTTTGAGATATTATGAAGATTTCATTTTGTCTCTCTAATAGGGCCCTTTTCACACTGTGCAGTATACTATCAGAAAGTTTTTTTTTCTGAAAGTTGTTGTGACAGACAGAAAGTTGTGACAGACAGATGACTAAATAGCCTGGCTATGATTTGAATCATCTAAACGGATCCCCCCCCCCCCCCCCCCCCCCAACCTTCCTGCCTACAGGCCTGCTCAGNCACACACACACACACACACACACAGCTAGCTTTAAAACTGGATTCGTTTTGGTGGTGGTGGGAGGGGGGGGCATGAGGATGGGATGAAGAAAAGAATGGGGTCGGACATAACTGAATCACTATAGCAGCTATAACACCCGAATCATAGAAACTTGTTAAGCTGTCCACGACGTGTGGTTACAGCTTCAGCATTGACCAGTTACAGCTTCAGCCACATTGGTCAGTGATAGTTCTGACCCGACCCGTTCTGACCTACTCCCCAAGCCTGGCTATCTGTTTTAAAATCAATATCTAGTTCTTGCCTGCCTTCTGTGTCTAACTCAGTGAGGATAATAAATTTCTTTCACAGACTGACTTAACCTAGATTCGATGTGAACACATCTTTCTTTTGACTGCCTGTCATACCCAACCCAGGTACTCGTAGGTACAAGTACAGCAACAACTTTTTTCTACCAGATCAGCAAGACTGGTCTAGACTATCTTCCTGATGTGAACACAGCCTTCGACCTTATTTGCCTTCCCATTCGCAGGTTCAGAAACTGCACAGCTACAGCAGAAAACCACTCCATCAAATATGAATAAGACACATTGATTCACTGACACTCTCTGTGCCATCTACTTATTCTAATGGGCATTACCTCACAATGCACTGGCTGAGTAATGACAGTCTTGTTCAAAGGCATCTTGGGGCCGTGAGAAAAAACAAAGGGTTTGGACAGGGATGGGTAGAAGCTTTACTTTCCCTGATAAACAACACTATTATTATAGAGGAGTGCAAAACAAGCATTGTCTTAATCTGTTTGTTTGGAAGATTCTATCACCAGATAGATGCACTGACATATCTTTACAAGCTTGAAATTACTTTACCAAACCTTACTAAGGATGATAATGCCACTAACTAGTCCATGTCAAACGTTGCAAATATACTTCAATATATAAATATTTATTAAAATGCAACTGGTCTGAAATCAAGAGAGATCCTTCGAGTAATGAGACAGAAACAACTCTGAACATGTTGTTGCTGCTACTACTGTTCTGCAAATGAGGATGAGGATAATGATGCATTTATTATTAGTAAGTAATTGAGGCATTTTTTAATAAATCTAAAAAAATGTTGAAAAACTAGAATGTTTATCTGAAGGTGCAAACATGCGCGCTGTCCGATGAATCTACATTTTTATATATTCATGCAGCAATAGGAGACTCGTTGGGCGTCTAACCTTGAATAAAATTGAAGTGACAGGCAAACATTGATATAATACAGTGAAAGAGGCTGCACTGCGGCGCATTACTGACGTTGCGCTGAGTTCATTTAAAATACTTACTTTCCAGCCATTGCCAGCTTCTCTGTAGTAAGGAAAATTATCACAAATCCACTGATAGATCTCACTGAGAGTCATTTTCTTCTTGTTCGAGCTGTTGATTGCAAAAGTAATTAAGTTGGCATAACTATAGGGGGGTTTCCCATCTTTTACTTGCTGGGCTTCGTTCTGGTCCAACGTAGCTGACGTATCTAATGGCGAATTTGGCGCTTTGCGCATCGCAGTCATTCCGCCGGGCGCCTTTGCACCCGTATCCACCATCCCCCCTCCTCCGCGTTCGCCTGTCATTGCTCCCCGGACATTTAGCCGCGGGAGCCAGTCCATAGTCGTCAGAGAGCTGTCCAGTCGATCCAACTCCGCCATTTTGATTTACCCTAGGATCTATTTTTCAAATGAGCAGGTGATTGAAATTACTGCGCTAATTTGAGCTCCAGCAAATTTTGTCACTGAATGTAGTTGAATCACTTCAAAATGACATTTAACATAATCTATATTACATAAAGCATTGAATGGTGCTAAAACTGTGAGTGTATCGAGCAAACTGATGAGATCAAATATTGTAGTATTTTTTATATCGCAATCACACGCCTTTGCACTCCATCGATAGCATAGTGACCCCCAGCAGCGTTGCGTAGCAATGGCTTGTGAATTAGGTCACTCTTACACTAAAATCATCCCCTTTAGAGTAGCACCCCTTTCCTCGCTCTTCAGATAGCAAATGCAATCAACAGTTATTCTGAAATAAACCCCGTTGGGCTGACTTCCAGATTTGAATCTAGTCGAGCGGAAAGAAAAGCCGCATTGATTTGTTTTATATGGGTTAAACGGTATTTATTCACCGCGAGAACTACGTGCGATGACGTCAAAGCGAATGCACCGTTTTAAGTCGTGTTTTGATGTTTGGTTAGAGACGCTAGGGTCGCTCTGTTCTTTAACCAAAAGTAAAAAAAGCTCCAGTCAAAAAATATATACCTGAAACATACTTTAGACCCATAATACGGACTTTCATGTGTGGGAGTTTGGGCGGGAAAGGGATTATGTATTGCTTGGGGGGGGGGGGGGGGGGATTGAATATGAGGTGGGGAGAGAGTTGGGAGCGTTGTTGAAATTTTCGACACTTGTAATATTCTTCGGTCTTTAAGTCACGATATCTATTCTTTTAGAAGACAGCTGCATAATTTGAACTGTGTCTACAAAGATTTTCTTTCACCTTGCTTTTACCCAATTTAATCTTTAGGCCTATAGGCCTATATATATTTATTAATTTATTTTTAATGGGATCGCCCCCCAGACTAAAGCTAGACATGTATAAATTTACGAGTCCCAAAGGGAAGCAACTGCAGGTTCTGCATTTTATCGGATCTGAATTTATTCAGGTTGCATGATGGGCGTTTTAACACGGTCAATATCCCCAATTTTATTAAATATTTAAAACTATAGGGCCTTTTTTAAATAATGCCTTTCACCGTACACGTATTCAGAATTAAATTAATTTTCTATTCAATATTGTTCAATTTCTTTATTTCACGTTTTATTTATTTATTTATTTATTTATTTATTTATTTATTTATTTATTTCTTCGCAGTATATATGTTTTCATATGACAATTTCAAGGTTTAGGCGAACGAGGGCGCATAATATTCGAAGCGTGGTTTTGTGAAAAATACAATTTTTAAACAGTGACGTTAATGATGTCTAGTGGCACAATCGCAATGTTTTTCAGTCAAATTACTTGAAAGCACTATTGAGGACACTTTTATGGATTTTTAAAGGAAAATAATGGTCACCTGAGTTCCAGGCGTCTCTAGAAACTCACATTCTGTCTGCTATCAGCCGCTTCCAGTATCCCTTATAATTAGAGGCATGCGTATAAAAGATGTGGGTTTTCAATGTGCTCTTTTACTCAGGGTGGCCGAGGTTGTCGCCTCTACACACTTAAGCGTATTTTACACATTTTTCAGTGACACGTCTCATTGTTTTCACGTGCTGATTAAGTTGCTGAAAGCACGGTAAACACGTTTTACGCAAATACCCAGCTTGTAGTTTTCAGTAATAAGTTTCATATCAGCTGAAGTATTTTCATAATTAATATGCTGGCTTCTTTGAAATAAGTTTTTAATGGTCGTAATGCGTCATAGTTTGAAAGAGAAAAGACCGTCAGAGTAAATATTTTGTGCCTGCGACTTTTACGTTTGATGAAGACTATTACCGCTACGATCTCACTTTATGAATCTCACAAAATGTACCCAGTAGAATGAAGGTGCACGTGAACATAAAAGTTTATCTACCTGCCTTTCTTCCAGTCTTTTTGACCTTTCATCCATCCATCAATTTATTTGTTCCCTCCTTCCCTCCCTCCCTCCTCTTTCTTTCTTTCTTTCTTTCTTTCTTTCTTTCTTTCTTTCTTTTTTCATTCATTCGTTCATTCATTCATTCATTCATTCATTTTTTCTTTCCTCATCCATCGATCCACCCGTCTATCATTTAATTAATTTATCCATTCATCCGATTTATCTATTTCAAACGCGCAGTCCTGGAGCACTTTTCCTCAAGTGGCAAGTGTATATCAGATGTCCCCAAAAGACGAGGAGCATTATATCCAATAATCCAGTTATCTTATAATACAGTAATCTATTGTCGTCTAGGAAGTAAGGTACCTAGACTAGACATTGTACTTGTGTCGCCACACATAAGCCTATACCTGTAACATCAAAACAATGCGTGATTTTAGGGAGCGGGTTACACGTTGGAAATATTTACAAACTGTCGATCAAAATACTGTTAGCTTTCCACTGAGGAGTGGACTCGTTATCTAGCCAGTGGCAATGTTATTCGATCCATCGTGATAGAAACTGTAATATATGTCAGATGACGTCATATGTTAAGTGAAAGTCATTCAAATCGATCCATTTTAGCCAAGTGTAAACACGTCCTTCGCTAGAACTGGGACGCGTGCCCTGTCACAACGCGATAAAAAAAGCGACGACTGTCAAAGGGTCAAAACAAAAAAGTTACGAAGAGGCGACCAAATTTAAAGCTGTTGGATACCGAGGAACACGTTATAAAACTAATAGAACCCACGAGCGAACTTGGAGGAAAAGGGATTAAAAAGACAGCAACTACACCATTTATTGGTTTTTTTCAAGACTTGAACCGTGTTGCTAAAATACATTGTTGCTAAAATATTGACAACAGCAGGCATTTGGCGAATTCAGTTCTAGTTTCTCGGAGGAGAAAATTAAACGCACGCGGACAGTGGCTCTCATTAATCTGCAAGGAATTTGTTTGTTCGATTTACTCTCAGGATGCCAGCGTGTTGTGGGTGCATCCCGAGACGTTACGTGGTGGCTGTGCTGGGGTTTCTGGGGTTGTGTATATCGTTTGGACTGCGTAGTGTGCTGGCCGTGACTGTGACGAGTATAGTAGCAAAAAATACAACAAGACCTGAGGAAAGCGTTAAGGTGAACTATTTTCTCTCTATCTCGAATTTTCTCCGCCTGTGTGTCTTTCTGTCAAATACACACACACACACACACACACACACACACACACACACACGTACGTAACAACGCGAAGATAAAGAAACTATATATACATATTCGCACTCTCTCTCTCTCTCTCTCACACACACACACACACACACACACACACACACACACACACAGAGAGAGAAAGAGAGGCAAAAAAAATGAGTGTTCTTATGCTATTTACTAAGTGCTTTTTTCTTTCTTATCTAAAACACACAATCTTTCCCAATGAAAAGCTCGAAATACGTGCACTCTTGCAGGCAGGCAACGGCTGATGCAATGACGGATCTAGGGTAGGGCGTAGAGGTTACGTCATCCCCCCCCCCCGCACTCATCGCGTTAGGAGGTACCCCATCGTCATTTCTCCCTCTCAAAAATAATGCATCAAACGAGAAAAGACCAAGCTTTCTTCTATCCTTACGTTATGGGCTTACATATCACAATAAGTGTTATATTTACCAAGTCTTATACATTACCGTAACGAGGAAACCCAACCCCCTCTCCCTTTTTAAGCAAAAGAACCGCCTGAGTACATAACTTAATGAAGTTATTAATTATAATTATTCGTTTATTTTCAAATCTTGTTCTCAGTGCATCTCCCACCAGCGGCTGGCTTGGACCACGGAGGATGTTGGGTGGGTGTTCAGTGCATACGGCTATGGCTACATTATTACACAGATACCAGGGGGAATACTTGCTGCCGCATTTCCCGCTCACAGGTGACTTGATAAAGCGACATAATGCCTTTGTTTTATGAAAATCTGTGATTAAGGGCTCTTAACTCCATAACAAAATGACGGCACGGGATTGTAGTCCATACACTTGTGGTCAACGTAGCCAATTTTCGTGATAAAATCTTGTTCAGTGATGAAGTTACGCCCCATACCGATTGCTATTTCACCTAAAATAGAACTTTTATTTGCATATGCTTATACATTGCAACAAGAAATATAAACGCAGATACTTTATATATTCTTTTAAATCAGCACAAAGATAGATGCAATATTGAATAATTAGATGCAGGAAAACTCATTTTCGGTACCTAGATGTTAATAAAGGCTTACAATACCCTTAATTTTGAATACCAGCACTTTCAAAAGGAACCAACGTATGCGGTGCACGTGCTAATGAAACGCCTCTCTCTTCAGAGTAATTGCCGATGCCAATTTGGCAACGTTTGTGCAAGATTTCTAAAAGTGTCAGTTAAAATTCCATCAATTCCAAGTATCGGAATTATAACTTTACTGAACATTTGCTTACCGATATGTTATTAGCAAGTTTTACAGATTGACACCAAGGTGTGTGATACATGTGCTAATGAAACACCTCTCTCTTCAGAGTATTTGCCGGTGCCCACTTGGTAACATTTGCACTGTTTGCCCTTATACCGACTCTTATGCCTTTGCATTTTGGTTACGTGGTAGCCATACGAGTGTTACAGGGCTTAGCTGAGGTAAGTGACGTCAGATGTAACACGTCATTTGGATGAAGTGTATGTGACGTATCACACAGATATTTTGTGGCGTTACGTTCGGTTCGCTAATTGCAGAGCTACAAATATGTGCTGTGTCACTTGTAACTTTGAGGACCGTTTCAAAAATTTTTCGGGTTCACGACTTCTGTGGGCCGTGTGACGTGGCGATAATATGGAAATGTGACGTAATAATTGAAAAGATGTGACGTGTAACTCGGTGATTTCTTGAAGGGAGAATACTAATATTTGAATTATCTTACATATTGTGCAGAATGAAGTTGATAACTTTAGTAAATGGTGCATTCTAAGATAAAAACACAACACTCACATTGATGCCATTGGGCAAAAATGAGTCGTCACTGTATTTCCAGGGGGTAATTGTCCCATCCATGCAAGGAATATGGAGCGTCTGGGCCCCAGAGAACGAGAAAAACCGACTGGCTTTATTTTCATTATCAGGTAACCAAAGCCCCGAATTCAAACATCAGCCGTAACATAAAACATCAAAGACTGTCTAATAATTCGCTTTCATGTCAAATGATGGGAGAGAAAATTTAATATCTTCCTTTTCGCACTCAAGAATATCACCTTAAACATGTAAAACAAAATTCCGGGCTTCTCAGTCAATAACATCGTGGATTTGGCATGAGTGGACATTTAATTTAGCTCTTTATGTATTATCAGACGAAGACTAATGTTGTGCTTTTTTATCACCATTTTCCATTGTTTGTTCACAGAGGTTATCTCATAATACAGTGTCAGCCTATCCATTTCAACGCAAAGATAGCAAATTGTTAAATGACTAATTAAAATTCCCATATTTTACGACACTGTTCATAATGAATGATTTGTTTCCACATGATAAGCATTCTAATACAGATCACAAACTATTGTTATTTGATATACTTTGGACCCATTATATAAGTAGGTGTATGATGGGCCCTAGCAAACACCTTACGGTATAACATAATTAAGATATCGACGAGGTTCTGTTTATTCCAAGTTCCGTGCTACTTATCAAGGCATTTGGGACTGAGTCAATAAGTGTGCCCAATTAAATAAAATTATCGAAAATATTATCGGAAAGAGTGGCTTTATCTGCGTAATTTCTGATAACCCTTCAACATTCATGGTGCCCCCGACACAAGGAGGGGGGAGGGCTCTCAGTCACGAATTAAATCCAAACCGGTTTGGGTCTGTGGTGCGTCACCAAGGTTAAGGAATGGGAGAATTAAAAATTCTGTCCGTTCAAGAAATGAATTACCTGGACCGGTTCTGATGTAAATCGCTTCACAAGACACAAATTAGATAAGCCTTTCAGTGAAATATATTTTCCACCTTTCAATCAATCAATAAATTAATTACTTAAACTTTTTGGCAGGGTAGGGTGAGGCGAATGATTGCCGGGGATCATTTATGAATCGCAGTGTGACTGACTCACTCTCTCTCTCTCTCTCTCTCTCTCTCTCTCTCTCTCTTTTAGTGTGTGTGTGTGTGTGTGTGTGTGTGTGTAATGAAATTGCCTACTCGTATATTTCAAGGTGCTTACTGCGGGCCGGCAGTGGCAATGCTGTTGACGGGCATAGTAAATTGTCACGTTGGATGGGAGTATATATTTTACATGTACAGTGAGTAGACAAACAGAGATTATGTGTAGCTGAAAAACTTGCCATAAAACCGAGGGAAGCTCCCCTCCTGTGCTTTTGTATTAAATAAAAATATATAGATGAATAATTAAGTAGATTAATGAATAAATATGTGTAAGCATCTATAAGTATGCCAATGGATATCAAATCTCATAATATTTGTTTATGAACGCGAAAAGACGAACAAATTTAGAAAAAAGAGATGCTTGAATATATTCCATTAATTTTGATGGATGAAAAGAGAGATAATTAAGATAATTTTTCTTTACAATAGGTGGCGCTGGAGGACTTTGGGTTATTGTGTGGTTCGTATTTGTGTTTGAGTCTCCGCACAAGTCTCCAGACAGACTTGGAGAAAAGGAAAGAATGCTGTTCGAAAAAGAAAACGTCGGAGCAACGTCGGGGAGTTCAAAGGACAAAGTGAGATTCCATCTCAAGCTTAGTATTAAAAGACGAAACATAAAAACATTTAGCTATTTATTTATTTATTTATTTATTTATTTTTTGCATTGATTTTGCTATTTCTATAAAAAAAGATTTATCATTATCATTTATAAGATAGATTTAAATATTGTAGTAATTTTAATGATTTTAGTTATATTATACATTATAGTAAGGCGCCTTGAGGTAGCACGTAAGGTGCCATATAAGATTATTATTATTATTATTATTATTATTATTATTATTATTATTATGTAATGTCCTTTTGTGAGCAAAACTAAAGGTTTCTGTTGAGCAATCGAGTCCTATTTCTGCAGAATTTTCACTAGAAGAGAATAATGGTGACTTAAATATTGTATTGTATTGTATTACATTACATTAAATTGCATTACAATAGTTATCACAAGGCATTTTAATACTGTCGTATATAGGTGAAAAGTATACCTTGGAAGGACATATTGACGTCACCTGCAGTGTGGGCGGTGTTCGTTGCTGGGACAACGAGAAGTTGGGTCCTGTTACTTGTCACAAATTACCTGCCCGAGTATTTAGACAATACGTTTGGAAGGAGTATAGACTTGGTAAGTACAACGACAAAATAAAAATAAACAAATAAATGAATAAATAAATATTTGGAGAAGCGAAAAATCGCTGGAAGGCCATATGATTTGTTATATATAGGTCTGACGCGCACTGCATGTCTTTAAAAATCGAGTTAAATCGAGGGAAAATTAATTCATTTGCAGATCGGCCTATATTCCGCCCTTCCTTTCTTCGTGACTACTGTAACTGTCTCCGTCGGAGGACTACTTGTAGACACAATACTGAAGAAGAAACTGATACCAAGGACACTGGCCAGGAAACTGTTTAATTGCTGCGGTGTGTATGGCGCTATCTGTAACTGTATATATATCTTCATGGCATGGCATGATGAAATAGTTGATATAACCGTGGATGAATCAGAGGCAATATATGAAGTGTTATCAAGTGCCATTAAATATTAGCATTGCGTTATATCATGTCAGTTTTTTAGCTATCGTCCGTGACACACTTTAGTGTATTTACTTTGGCAGTGAAATGGTGTGAAGGCTGTGTAATTTAACTGATAACGTAGACATACATAAAAAGATGCATGTATTTACTTTCACTTTTTATTTCCTTTTTTTTCACGTATTTAGCGTCGTCCATATATACAGAGTCGTCTACAGTTTAGTTTCAATTTGCTTGAAAAAAGTAATCTTTCCTTTAAATATTCTCACTTCTTCAACAAGCCTTCGTATCAGTGTTGATATTGATTATTCCAGGGTTTGCCGCAGAGGCCAGCATTCTCATAGCCATGGGTTTTGTAAAAAGTGAAGTGCTGGCAGTCATATTGTTTTGCTTATCTTGCGGTTTCAGCGGAATAGCCGCATCAGGTATGTTGCCGACATCTATCGTCAAACAAAGAAACATAATTGCCTTTATTGCCCACCATATTTTGTTATGCATACATGTATATATTTGGGGTGAAGGGGTAGGTTAACACGCCCCTCCCCCCACCTTTTGAAAAATAAAACATGGCGTATCCATGGCGTATCCTGACGTAAAGTAATCATAATCATGGTATACTTTTTTTCCCCAAAAAATATCCCACCCTGCATACTTTTTACGTTATTCAAAAATTATTCTCGCAAAAAAATGGCGTTGCATGATTTCATATATTTTTATGACCTGTAGGGTATCAAGCGAACCCCCTTGACCTGGCTAGGGACTACGCCAGTATATTGATGGGGATATCCAAGATGGGGGGTGTGGGAGGCATGGTGATGCCCACGGCGGTGGCCAGGTTGACGAAGTCACGGGTAACGTGTCTGGAGCACAACACCTTGAATGATATAAACCAACTAGACAAACATACTTTAGATATCATCAACAATACCACAGTATACCATTGATCTACGTATGTCGTCAATATTGATTTAAATTTTCACCACGGATTGCGTTTTAAGACTCTCTTAAGTGGGTTTTCTATGGTATCTTAAATTATCTCTCTCACTAACACTAACGGCTTTCAGAACAATTTTGCTGACCCACTTGAATACTTCCCCACGGGATATCTAGGCCTATTCAGTGTCTATTAGCGGATTAGACGACAAGCTTTTTAGTTGGTCGCCATCTTTGACCCGCGGACTAGTTAGTCCATTGTTTTAAATGCGGTCATATATATCTCCAGGCGCCTGACGATTGGGCACACGTGTTCTGGGTGACAGCGACACTGGAGCTAGCGGGAGTGGTCATCTACGCCATGTATGCTTCAGGAAAGCAACAAAAGTGGTCCAATTTTGGCGTCAAAGAGAAAGAAATGGAAAATCGAAATCCGGAAATGACGTCTGACAGTAGCCCAGATGTCCCCGATCCGAAGGCATCGACTTAAGACGTGTCTGAAGGACCTTATGATTACAGTGATCGATACAGCTTTTTTATATACAAAAGGTGATTTGCCCGGACTCACGAGAGCCACTGGTCGTTTTCGTGCCCTCCGGGCCAGCGCGTTCATGTGGTGAACTGACATGCGTCATCCTGGATTTGAAGGGCACGAGGTGAAGAACATGGTCAGGATATCCCCATGTATGCTAAAGCGAGCAGTAAAAAAATGCCTTATAACTTTCATTGTCAGTTTATTTCACTATTCTATTTTACAACGCCTAAGAACTTATGAGAAATCGACGTGCTTTGCTTAAACATTAAAAAAATGTCGTCATCATGTAGTTCAATGTAGTAGCAGCAGATGTAGACTCATTTCTTCAGGAAAGCAGTTTGTGTGGTCTTTCCTTAACGATTTCACTATCAGTATGGCGTCGAGCTAAGGAAATGGAAAATTAATAATAATAATACTAATAATAATAATAATAATAATAATAATAATAATAATAATAACATATAGATATGACAGATGAAAAAAAAATACAAGAAAAGTATATACTAATGTAATATTAGATTAATAACACTGAGGTATTAGAAAAACAAATGATTGGATAAACGAATGAAATTTTGAATTATGAACATTAAGGGCCCAAAGGTATGATAAACATAAAGGTTTATAAGCCTACTTACCATCCATTGTGTTTGAAGTTAGAAAGCGTCCCCAACATCGGCAGGGTCGGAGCAGCAACCCAGGAAGGCCGATTTGCAGGGTTCGGAGAGAGTGGCAGCCCTGTCCGCGCAGCTCCTTTTGGAGGCGCTTGTTCCCATTTTACAGCACGCGACTCTTACGTCAACAAGCATGGCGCCATCTTGGAGGCCTACGCCATCGCTCCTCACTAGAAATTAAAGAGAACGTTCGTATGGAACTTGCCAGATCAGAAACGGCACCACTTTTCAATTTGACCACCAAGGATGCATTTCTGTTGGTAAAAATAATATATGTCATGGACTCGTAGTGATCTATTTTATCTCAAATTAAGAAGACGACTCGGTTAACGGAAGGATGAGTAAGAACAACTTTTAAGTCGACTGTCTTGAAAAAATAATGAGATAAGTAGACGGCAAAATGAGATTAAGATGATAGTCTGTTTCAATTTTTTCTCTGGTTATTCCATGCTTTTTTTAAACAATTAATTTTACAAGGAATTTTACAAAAAATTATTGACAAAATTTTTGATTGTCCAACAGTCCCATAACCAACCAGGACCAGGAAAACGTCACCTGTTTTGCGAATTGTCATCACTTTAACTTTTTAAATGATAAAGAATCTTCACATAATAATAATAATAATAATAATAATAATAATAATAATAATAATAATCGTGAGCATCCGTGTTCCATGCTAACGATTTTCTCATATATTTTATGCGTTATACTTTTCTTTTGACTTTCAATATATCCGTGTTTTTTTTAATGTACATGTATTTTACGCCAGCGACATTCTATTGCTAGCGTCTGCTATTTGATCAAATTATCTTTACAGCAAATTGTCTTTCAACAGTGAGTCTTGATTTTCTATTGATCAAACTGATACAAGTGGAAGGCAACTTAAGATTTTTCTTAAAAATATTTCATCAACTGTGTACAAAAATAAATGGAAAAAATTAACGTTCCCTTTGACCAACACGTAAGTTGTGAAGTAAAGTAACCGTTCAAACGTGTGAGATGAAACACGAAAGTTAAATAAACGATAAAAAAAACTTATCAAAAACTTACGAGCGAAAGCGCTAGCAACAGTCAAGCAGAGACAAAATATCAACGCAACCTTCATAGCGTCTGGCACTGAATCCCTCTGTGGAGAAACTTTGACAATTTGTTTCCTGCGTGGAAAGAATCAAAATCAGAGGTTTTCTGCGTCAGCAATTTATATACCTTCAATCTGACAAGAGCGTGTCCATTATCAACACAAAAACACTAAAATCAACCAAGGCTGACAAAAATAAGTGAGATAAGCTATAGCCGTGCTCGGTCTGTTTTAACCAAACCCGTTTCAGCTTTCACTTCAGGAAGTAGTTATGTGAGCTCATTGTTCGCTCTGTAGATAAAAAATGAAATAATAAGAAGAAAACATCTTGCTCCCCGCTGCTGCTCCAGGAATTATGAAGGCAAAGACATGACAGAGCATAAAATAAAAGTTCTACCCCCGGAAGTTCGGACTAAAACGGTTTTTGTCACAACCGTCTTGAGCGCGGCCTCGGTCACTGTGACACAACACGGAAGTTGTGCCATATCGCCCAGTGTCCATCAACCACTTTAATTGCTGGAAAATAATATCTTTCTTTGAAATCAGTAATGATGGAGTGCAGCGGGTACGGATATATCTCTCTTTGGAATCACTCGCACTGTCCCAAAAAATAGTACAAACAAACATGCGATGAAAAGAATAAGGCTTAAGGGTAGTAACAAAGTTGGACCTTTACTAATATTCCATTGGTAATAGTAACAAACTAAAAGCTGAGCAAGGTAACATCTGAAAGGACTATCGAGCGAACGATTGGTCACGCTGAGAACGGAAATGCAACCTATAACTACTTTATGATCAATTTAACAGTGATTAACTAGTTTCAACAACAATCCATTTCATCTGTTTTCATAGCCTTGTGAGGTTGTGCATTTTTGTCACTTTGACATTACAATGCCATCTAAATGGCCCTGCTTATACGTTCACTGTTAGACGAACGCTTCAGAATCGGCGTTCTGGACCAGTTGTGAATAGTTCTATTGTTTATAAAAGCATCCCTTTTTATTTGTAAAATCTGTCTTTTTACAAGTGCAGAGAGAGAGAGAGAGAGAGAGAGAGAGAGCGCAAAAGATTGGGACTAAGATATAAGATATGTGTAAACACAGCTACGGGTCTTTTGTGGTTTTTCCACTAGGACTGTTGTCTACAAGAAAGTCACTGATGTCTCTGATAATTCTGTGCACATCTCTGAACTGTGCGAGAAATTTTGCAAATAAAAGAGTGATGTAATAAAATAAAATATAAAAAAAAAAAAGAAATAAAATTTAAATGACAGAGGGTAAACAGACAGATAGAAAGCAGGCGTAGAGAAAATAGTACTTTGATAAGGAAAATGGAGAAAAATGTGCCATGCAAAAGATTGCAAAATGATAAGAGACAAGGAGTATGTTTTTTTTAATGAAACTGGAACTGTTCATTACCGGTAAGATAAGGTAAATGATATATTTCCACAGCGAAGACGGGTATTTAGTGCAGTCTAGTAATACAGATAAAAATCATCCCTTCCTTCATAAAGCAACCTATGCATTTATACTTTCATTCTTTTATCATTACATTACATACAAAGATTTAAAAAAAAATTAAAACACTAGCAAGAAATGCATTATCAACTATTCTTCTACCAGCGAGATTAGTCTTATTCAAGTTAAATAGTATATGGTACCTATGCGTGTCTGTTATAATTATGGAGAAACAAGGTCTGGTAAATATGAGAAGTGCATTTTATGAGGAAAAGAAGGTCAACTTCAAGGTCACATTAAGATGCCCAGAATATGATTTCCTTTTAAAGTTCAATAGTAGCTGTATTCTGCATCTAACGGCTGCTTCTCCTGTGAAACTGCACCAGTTGAACCCAAACTCACGAAGGGGCTGATAAAAGGACCACGTGCAAATTATGAGATCTTTTCTACTCAAGTTTGCCATGTTGCAAAACTCCGACTTCGATACATTTCCAAAATATTAATGATATATATAAAATATACTGTGAAGAAAATGCTTTTTCGGGACAAAAATAAAAGTTAATGTGATATTTTGTAGGTGTTTATAGACTAGACCTATAAATGTAGATTATTTAATAAGGAGTTCTTCGGAAAAAGATACTGAATGTAAACTTTTGTAATGAAGGGAAAACGAGCAAACAAAATACATTAATTCCATAAAATGGTATTTATTTTAAAGAAAATATTCAATTATCTTAGTCTGTTGTCATGCCACTTTTGAAAAGCAAAGGGATTTCTGTTCAGATCAAACATAAATTGCCTCAGTGACGTCACTGGACACCCAAACTGCTTCCTATGTGATCTAACATTCCAAAGCACGATAGGAACTCTGTTTGCCACGTGACCTTTATTCTGATAATGGCAGAGGTTTCTGGTTTAAAAGTCACATCACTTATTTTATTGCTAGGCACGGTGTATGTATCAACTATCATATCTTAATAGCAGGCTGGTCCCTTGTATTATGTTAGGCTGCTGCATTTACACGCACGGTAAGTGACGTATGAGCCACTGTGTGATAACTCTGTGTCAGACACACTGTCCTCCTGAGCCACGAGATCTCTGCAGATGCAGTCGTGATTTGCAGCCAGGCAGTCTGTCATCAGATTACCAGATCACTGCACAGGCTGCCCTTTTCATGAAATAATTAGACTGCTGCAACATTCTTCCCCTGTTTTTCAAAACAAGGTCAACTAAAGCAGCAGTGTGTTAAATAAGTTTTCTCTCCAGTTTCTGGCTACCTCTTTGGCCAGCTAAGTTTTGATCCTCCTTGTTTGTGTCCCTTGTTACTATGTGTGTATGTCATACTCTTCTTCCCAGATCTAGGATTCAGACTAGGCTTGGAGCCACCCTGAAAAGGGTCAAGGTCATAAGGTCAAGATTATTCAAATATGAATACAAATCCTTACACCAAAGACTAAGGTCAAGGTCATTCAATTATAAATATAAATTCTAATGCCTTTGTAAATCAAGTCTTTTATTACATAAAAAAATACATTGTTTAACTTGAAAACTCTTTCTCAATAGTATTAAGTAACAGCCCGAACAGGAGCCCATGACAAAAAGACCAACTGCAGTTTAAGATGTAGTTTAGCAACTCAGGACTCTATCTAACCATTTATGCCATACCTTAAACTTCCCAGAATGGTGCTTATTTGGGTCGTAATGTTTTTTATGACTCTTTCCTCCTTTCTCTGAAAAATAAAAAAAATTACAATACAGTGATAATATATAAATGTTTGTGAAATAATGTCTATATATTGGTCTAAAAGCACATTCAAAATAAAAAAAGAATGGGGTAGATGCTATTGAAGGCATTTCATGTAAAATGAATTCCATTTTTAGCATTATCAGCTCTCCTAACAGTCAATTTATATTATCTGAAATAATTTTTATTTTACACCTTGGGTCCCTCAAATGACACTTATGCCACATTCCTGAATTATCAAAACCCTCTACAAAAAATTAAAAATCCAAATGAAACATGACCCAACAACTGCTGAGTCGATTGAAAAAATCAATTTTTCTTTTTACACATTTCTCCCTTGAAAAGTTACCTTCAAATATTTTATAATCCGTTTTACTATAGTCAAAAGGCTGTATAGGTTCTGACGTTGTTGGCGTCTTTGGATCTTTCTTGTGCTTTTGTTTTCCTTTCTCTTTCCTTCCTTCCAGTTGACTACTGTCCAAGCTGGTGTCTACGTCCGAGTGTTTCCTCTTTTTACTAGGCATCTAGAGTATTAACAGGTATCTTTGTTTCATAATTCTAAGAGAGGTAATGACCCATTTGAATATAGTCTCAAAATGAGTTTTAAGAAACAAAGACCTGTCGAAGTCCAGGGCCACTTAAACCGACTCAAAATATTAATTCCACCAGAATTTGTATCGAGGACAAGTTTCCTATCTGTTCCTTTATATCATTATGACTTAACCAGTGAAAAAACATTAAAGAACTTATTACCTGGAATATAATAGGGGCTGTAATGTCCTGTTCTTCAACCTGGATGACCTGTGTGTCCACTGCTGAAAATTTATAATTTTAATAATAGTCATAATAATAATACTTTAATTGGTAATGTAGAACCTATTTTCTTTTATGTATTCCAGTTATTAAAAAAAAAACAAACACTTAATAAGTTTGTTTTTAAATTATATAATATCAGGGCATTAACATGTAGTTTAGCGTCTCACTGTGTTTTTTTAATTCATTATAAATAATTGATTTTCATTTGATTTTTTAAAAGTATTTCATTTCAACTACTGGCACAATTGAAAGCAATTTAAATTTGCATACAAGCAAATACAAGCATTTTATTTTTATTTTATTTTATTTTATTTTTTTGTATGGCAGTGAGTGTGAACCAAGCCCCATGAGAATCAAAATGTGTTTGTAATTTACCTGTATTCTCCTGAACAGCTGTTCTTTTTGGAGTATTTTTCATCAGTCGCCATCTTGGACTAGAGAGGAGACACTGAGAAAGAAATATTTCTTTGATTTAAACCAATCCGCATGAAGTCCAACAATTCCGTGAGCCTTCATGGGTTTATTAAAATATTCACTGTGAAAACACAGCATAAAAGCAAACTCATCAAAATTCAGATTTCAAAGAAAAATTAGTTTTGTTTACAGAAAATAATAACAGCATCACTACTGAATGAAAGCTTGGTGCCTCTTTCCCAGAAAAAAAGACCACACACTTTCTCTGGAGATCATCATTACCATATACGCCATACCTCAGTACTTCTTGCTTGGTTTTCTTCCTCCACTGCAAAAGAGTCTCCCATTTTCACCAAATCAGCAGGCAGATACTGGAAAAAGACAAGACCAGGAATAAAGCAGTTTGTGACCTCAACACAGGTCTATTGCCAAATGCCAGTAATACTGTAGACTGACCAGTGAAATTTGGTAAATTAAATGTTTCATGAGAAATATGAAAGAAATATTCTGAATGATTTGTGGCAAGTTTTGAAATATAGTAATGTGCATATTGTGGCCTTGATTTGCAAGGTAATTTAAGACACTTACTCTATGAAATGGACTTGAAAAACTTTTCTGTATGCTAGCTGCTGTATGGCAAGCTTTTGTGGCACCTTTAAAAATCTCCTCCTGAAAATGAAATGCATCTTTAACAAAATAAACTTCACCTAAAAAATCTATTCTAACAATGCTATAAGTTACAAATTACATAAATGAGCAATTGCAATATCCACCATAGATCATATGGCTAACAAAGGCTTTTCACCTAAAATATCATGAGTGCCCATAATCTCTTTTTTTTTGTTTTCTCACATATGTTCATTATCTTCACTCAGTCCAATAGTTTTCCATTTGATTGTTATTACTTATTAAGCTTTTGACTAAAAAAATAATCTTTACATAAACACACACATGCACAAACAAACACTCATTAACGTAAAGTACAACATATCCTACCTTTGGGTCCCAAGCTAGGGCAGAAATTAAAGGAACTTTTTTAACTACAATAACGGATTTGGCATCATCCCCAAACATTGAAGGCTTGGTAGATACCAATGAAGGATCTAAAATGAATATAGAAATAAACAAATACATAAATAAATGAATTAATGAATACAACATAAATAAAGACAAAAAATATCCGATAATTACATTGAGCAAGAAAATGTTGAATTTTATCCAAACAATTTTTAAGAGAAAGAAAAAAGATTTCTGTTTGATACAGAGTATTATCTTCAGTAAAAATATTGTTTTATTATCGTTTTGAGGGTATTTCTGATAGATCAATAAATGTCTGATGAAAAAGTTTTACATACATGCTGTATCAATCAACCTTTGCCCTGTGTCAGAGCTACTTTTAAGGTCATACAATTCTTGATTTTGAAGGAGAAAAAATACTTCCGTATCAAAATGGAAAAGACTGCAAAGTCATCATTTGAAAACTAACCAAGAACTCTGCTCTCCCCAACTTTTGTCTGCCGCTTCTCCTGCCATGACCAATCATGGCAGCACCTTAGAATGTGCTCCGCCCTATACTTGGGATGCTGGGACACATTTGGTTTTAATTCTTTCTTGGAAATTTCAGTCTGAAAGTAATGATTTGTGTTGAATACAATGATTTAAACATAAACCAAAATAATTTAATCTCTCTCTCTCTCTCTAACTTATTGATTGAGAGATCTTTAAATTCAAGGCACAGACAGTAATTATAAGATCATTGTGATTCAATCTCTGTCCCCACCTTGGCCATGGGCCTGTCTCTGGCAGCCAGTATAAACTGGTGGATTTCATTCACGTATTGCTTCAGTAAAGGCGGGACAGGATTACAGCAAGCTATAACACCTTGGCTCTCCCTAAAATAATACACAAATGTCATCTTTCAAATATGTAAACTAATTGGTTGTTTTTATCCTTGTACAGGGCTTTTTATTGTGAAGTCTTAACTTAAAGATTAAATGGTCTGGAACTTTAAGTGATTAAATATTATGCTATGTTCAGACAGGGATTTTTTTAGACCTGAAATAAATGTAACTGGTATCATAACTATAGATTCTCTAGATTACACTCCCAAAGTAACCTTGTCTGAATGCTGCTGTACTCACCTGGGTAACACCTCAGCTATCTGCAGCAACATGTGGTTGGGTAACACATAACTAAAACCAAGGAACAAATATTATTATCATTATTATTATATAACTTAACTAGTATGAGAGCTCATATTGTGTATGAGCTCACTGTATCCAATCTCTCTCTTTCTTTCTCTTTCTCTCTCTCTCTGTCTCTCTCTCTCTCTCTCTCTCTCACACACACACACACACACACACAGACACACACCAAATTCACTACTCACAAATCTTATATAAACAAACAAACAACAAAATTGTCCTTTTTCCTTAGAAGGAAAAATCCTTATCCTGTACTCTAATCTTCCAGCTGACAACAACCTACTTCATACGTCCCTCTCTCTCTCTCTCTCTCCCCCCTTACCCCCAACTGTCATTCAAGCCTTACCCTGTGCTCTCGTCTTCCAGTCTGGCTATCCCATCTCTCCAAGCAAACAGGTCTCTGAGAGCTGACAGCTGCTGAGAGTTGAAGACCTTTTTACTCTTCCTGTATAACTCTAAATGGCTCTCCTGGGTAAACACTGGCTTTTGGTAGGTCTGATGGTAAAGTTTAAAGTCCATTTTTAATTTTAAAGTGAAATCATTTTCATTTTGGTGTACTTCAGACCATGTCTTATTTGCGTAAATTCAGTTTTAAAGATGATGTTAAAACTGATTCGCATACATTCAGTGGAGTTTAAAAGACTTAGGGAAAATTATTAACATTTACAGGACATGTGTAAGATAAATCAGTGGACCATTATTAGCCATTTCCTGTCAGTGAAACAAACCAATAAAAATTTTGACTGCAATCTGAACTAAAACTAAAAACTTTAAGTTAATCTTAACTTGGAAGTCTAATTTTTTTGTACCAAAGTCGACCCAATATGTATAAAGAAGAAGTAGGCCACAGTTCTGAAATACTGTACATTTTATTAAAAAAAGTTTATGCCTTAGGGCAACAGTTAGTGTTACTTCATTTTGTGGCCATCGTTAACTTAAATTGAGAAAGTAAGACAAAACCAAGACCAATTACTAGACATGAATTACTTGTGAAACCATTCCTATTACCTTCTGACAAATATGCTTACTCCTCTCAATCACAGACAGAAGCAGGTTGTTCAGGTTGTTCCCTCTCTCAATCAGCTCCTTCTTCATGCGTTCATAGATGTATAACAAGTAGTGGGTATCCTCACGAGCATACTTTATGAGCTCATCTGGGAGAGGTCTGAAAAACGGAAGTATGGAGTCAAAAATATTTTTTTTTAATCTGCAGAATAACGTAACTTCTTACTAAACTGCAATGAAATACAAATACTGAACCTAGATGAGAGGAGTTTTTTTTATAATGTGCTGTATTGTGTTTGTATATGCTTAATAAAAAAAAATAATAAAAAAATAAAAAAGGTTCAGTTTACAGCCTTGCTAGGTTGAGAACCTACCTCATTCTCCAGTCTGCCAGCTGATACTGTTTATCTGCCTCCACCTGGCAGTACTGCTGTAGTAGGTATGCCAGGGAATACCTAGCTAAGTTCAGCACTCTGGAGGCCTGCCCCGTATCAAACATGTTCACCACGTAAACACCCAGGTCACGTTGCAGCCACTCTACGTCCATATCAGCTCCATGGAAAACCTAGGTCATTTATGTATAAATATTTATAACCAAGACTCTTGTGGCATGAGAACTATTTGGGAATTTTAAAATATGGCTCATTCTGGCTTAAGAAAACAACAATTTGTTGTAAAATTAGAAAGGCATTGCTTTATTGGCCCTAAGACAGTTCTGAGCTTAAGAAGAAAACTTCTAATTGCCCATTGATAAATATTTTCTTTACATGATCTATATATTAAGTATTTTCCCATGATTCACATTTTCTTCCACATTCAATTCTTCCATGAATGAGATTTTTACAGAGCCGATTCTCTCACCATTCATATTTTCACACAAAAACAAAATCTCCCATGATTCACATTTTTTCTCACCTTGACAATCCCAGGGTCAGTGAAGACCTCATTCAGCAAGTACAGATCCCCCCTCAAGGTCAGGGTGTCTATCACATAGTCATGGTCTCCAGTTGATATCTGCATTAGACACGTGATGCCTTGGTAAGTTCTGTAAGAATGGTGCTGTAAAAGAGAGAGAATTCTGGATATTACTTCTATCAAATTGAATGGTGGAGGTTACATTTTCATTGGTATTTGTTTGAGGACAAGATACTTCAAAAAGATCTTTACAAATTTGGATGAAGTTTTCAGTTCATGACAGACAGTTATTCAGGAGGAAAACAGTGCTTACAAATTCAACTAAAGTCCAAGTCTCCTAATATTACATTTGATAACAATTTTGACTGAATAGGGATAGATCTCCCAATATAATCTATTATAATTATATTCATATTTTGCCTTGGTAGAAGCTGCAATCTTGGAGTGCTCTCTATTATTGCATTTGAAACATCTCACTTGGAATTATACCCCATTTAAATTCCCAAGATTTGAAATCCTGCATAAATTTACTTATAAAAAATTATACTTTATTATATGAACCAAACCCTCTTTCAGAACTTAATGACTATCTCTTTTAAAGTTGTTACTACTAACAAAAACTTTGTGTAAGGACCTGGGGCATGTCATGTATTAGGCAATATACATTTCTCCCCCCAATTAAATGAGACACAACTTTTTTATTGCATAAAATAGTGTTAACCCAGACGTACCTCCAAATCTACAGCAATTAATTTCTCCTCCTTCAGTCTGTTTATCATCTCTACGAGGGTCGGAGTGGTGTCAACATAGGTGAGGGGAGTGTCTTCCAGAGACTTTGGAGGCTAAAAATAATAATACGCGTACATTTCAGTGAGATGTCATTAGGGACTTTCAAACCTTTAATTTGCATTAATTCATTATACATTTTATTTATTATAATTATTGTAATTATAAATTACAGGCTTGCATGCATGAAAACATGCACGTGCAGACACACATCATTATACTGCTGTATTGTATCACTATTAAAGTGTTATCTTGGCGAAGCAATACCAGTGAAATGTACTAATCATATAGTCATCACAACTGACCAGTAAGGAAAAAGTTGCCATTTTCAAAACAAGGACAAAACCCTACCTATTCTGAAATGAACGTTTCCTACTATTATCACCTTCCACATACAACAGACTTACCACTGGTTCCTTGGCTAAGAGTTGTTCTTCCTTTGGGGTGAACTGGTCCAGTTCATACTGATATGGATGAGGGTACCTGAAAATGTAGTGTAATCAAAGAATTAACACTTGAAAAATATTTCTTAACATGGATAACCTCAAAAATTGAGCTGTATATTCATTACATACAATGTATGAGGACATTGATTGGATAATTATGTTCTTCTTGATATCACTGCCTTTTGTGGATAATCAAATATATGAGAGAAAAAGATGATTTACTTTGAGTGTCACTTGTCACAGACATGTTTCTTTGGTATCTTAAGTAAGAATTAGAAAAGACGGCACAGGTGTAGGGGAGAACAGGAAGCAAGTGCCCCTCTCTCTACCCCTAACTTAAAACTCCTGTATTCAGACGAGATGAGTTAAGAAGGAAATGAAAAGCATTTGTCCCCCCCCCCCCTCTTACTTCAATATCAGAATCTTTAATGGATAAATTAGCAGGTATTTTCACTGACAAATTTTTTTTTATCTAAAACTTACTCCAGCCATTCAAACTGGTCTCCAAATTCATCTGTTTTGTCAATTATTTTTGGCACAAGACTCTCTGAAAAAAATTCCCAACATTTATTATAATAAGTAAAATTGCTTCAGTGGACAATTTTCAATAAACTTGTATCATATTTTAAAAAAAAAACTAAATTTTGGATGACATATTGAATATGTTTTAGTTCAACACTATTCAATACCTACCCTCAAGAGATCTCAGGGCATTTGGTTTGTGTTTAATTTTGGGCACAAACGATGTGTTGGGCGAGTTGTCCACTTTGTCCTGAAACTTGAGCTGGGGTCTCTGGACAAACCGCGCAGCTAACAGCCTGTAGCTGGTGGCCTTCTGGGCTGGGCTTTCAGACGACTGGAATGACAAAAACAGAGACATGGTTAAGATGGTTTCATTCCTGAGCCATGTTTCCACTGAAATTGGGTCAACCCAACTTGATAGTCATAATCTATCTCAGCAGGTCTGCTGATTACAAACAGAAACCTGAACTAAAAGAACAAGGCTTACATCAAATATAACAGTAATGGGTGGGACAATGGTGGGATTAGGTTGGCTTCCTATAGTGAGCTAATCATAACCTGGATGGGCCCACCTAACGTATCTTAAATGCAGTGTCAGTGGATGGGACACATCTGGGATTAGATTGGTTTCTTGTGGTGAACTAAACACAATAGGTTCACCTAACTACACCAAAACACCTTATTTAAGTATGATCTTATTTTACCTTTTTATTCCAGCTGGTATTGATGTGTTGTTTCTGTGTTACACTGGCCACAACTAAAGTGCTGTCCTGTTTCTTAATACCTGATGCCTCATCCAGAAAGGAACTCTAAAAGAAAAGAAAGATATGCAAAGTCATTGTGTTGCTAAGCCATTGTAAATCCAATGGCTCCAATTTTTTTTATCTGATGTGTTAATAGATAATTTACAGTTAAATAAAATGAAAGAAAACAAAACTAATGGAAAAAAACAAGTACTATTATGAAAAAAAAAAACACTTAAAACACTAAATTATCTTGAAAAACTAGAGCAAAACTGTTACAAAATAAGTACTTTAAAAACACACTGAACCTTTTTTTTATAAACTTAACATACCACTCTCTCTAACATCTGATCATTAGCGTCAACCAGTACATCAAATTTATCCTCTACTTCAACAGACTGACTTCCACCAGACAGGTTGCCTTTTACATTCTGGTGTTTTAGTAAATCTTGCATTCTGCAAAAAAAAAAAAAACAGTAGGTTGCTTTTTCAAGTCTGGAGTTTGAGCAAGTTTAATTTGAAATGTATGTTGTGCAGGTTGCATTGTGGTGCTTTAGCAAGTCTTGAAATTTATAATTTAAACAAATCTGATACAATGTGGTACAAAAATAAATTTTCTTTCCTGTTTTAAAAGTTCAAGCCTGTTTAGAATTCTAGACATTAAATGCATTAACAAAAACCATGATTCCTTTATTAATTATGATGATGGCAATGATGGTAAATTTAAAACAAAAAGTTCCACCTTTAACATTTATTAACCAATAACCACAACAACGACAACAACAACAACAACAATAATAATAATGAAATTTACTCACAACTGCAAAACCCTCCTTCCTTCTACATTCATCAGTTCCCTAAATCCCCCAAAGCTGGAGTAGAAGTCATAGTCATTGCCTGCGGCCGGCAGCTCGTTGGATGCCCTGATTGCTCCCATTACCGACTGCAGGGCTTGCTGAAAGACAGAGAAGTAATACTTGCATATAGGCTTCCTAAATATACAGTGTATTATCAGAAATACTAGTTTGCCTAAATAGGTTGCTCTCTCTCTCTCTCTCTCTCTCTCAACACACACACACACACACACACACACGATCTCTCTCCCACTCTCTCTCCCTACTCATTACCTCTCTGACTGCCCTGAAGCTACTACAGTGCGAATGCAAAATATAAAAGTTTACACATCATTTACTACACTATGGGACTGACAGCAGACGTAATTTCTTTCTGCTACTGTCCAGAGAGAATATCAAAATAATTAAAACACATAAACGTCACTTGTGGGGCTTAAAGCAAGACATAATCATACTTACTTGAGAGAATAATGAAACATCGCTGTGGCCAGGTATAAACTCTGCCGACGTTTTATCTATTTCCTTCGAGTCCATGCTGTATTAACTTACGAAGCTTACCGTAATTTATGCTTTAGTTTCGATTTATTAAGCTAGCACATTACCTCTTTTTTTTTTTACCAAAGAGACCCATAATAAGATAAAACCCTTTCATATTTAGATACATAAAGATTAAATCTAAACATTATTTTGCAAGAAAAACAATAAAACTTATTAAACGAATTCGAAAAAAAAATTACTGATCAACTCTAGGTATGCATTGCGTTAGTTGGGACAGCATAGAGCAATAGGAAACATCCAGACTGCTGTTCATAAAAATAGTTTGACCCAACTTAACGAGTCGGCTGATGAGTGGATCAAAGTTCTAAGTTTTCTTTAAATCAAGACAAATCTGTAGTATTATATAAAAATATTATAACATATTTTAGAGAAAATTAAATGATGGTTGCTTAGCCTACAAGTTTACTTTACCGATAGACTTAATAATTGAGCACCCAAGAACACCGTTTTAACGCCAATTTATTGACACCATTTAGTATTCCAAAACACTGCCAGTGATTTTTCTTAAAAGCTTAAATTTAGTTTAGATTTTATCGGTCTTATTATGTGATTTTCCTATGTGAATTATGTGTGTGATTTTATGTATGGACTCTTTTCTTTCATATAAATAAATAAATAAATAAATAAGAATTATACTTTTGTTTGTTGCAAATTTGTAATGAGGGGTCCATAATTTCATGACAAAAAAAAATTAACCAAAATGACCGCACGGGATTGTAGCCATGCACATCAACTTTGCCAATTTTCGTAATAAAATCTTGTTCAGGAATGAGGTTACACGTACCACTGCGATTGCTATCTCACCTCGAAATAGAAAGGTGTTAAATTTACGATAAAAGACTTGAGTTGCCTATGCTTATACATTGCAACGAAAAAAAATAAACGCTGATACTTTACATTTTTGAAGGGATTTTATTGTTTAAATCAGCTCAAAGATAGATGCATTATTGTAGAGTTACATGCAGGAAAAAAAACTCATTTTCGGTATCTGGGTGATAATAAAGGCTTACAGATTCCTTAACTTGTACTTTATTACAGACATCAAAGAAAAGCACTCCGTGATATTTCAACTCAATTTTACTATGTACTCACTGGAAATGGTCATAAAATCACAAAACAAAATCTTGCGTTTGAAATGCAGTCGTTTGCGAGTACCGGCCCCTTCAAAAGCATTATTTACAATAAAACATAGCGGGGCATCTCCACTGGTCTATATACAAACCTGTTGCTATTTACAATTAAAACTCGTTAGAAATATGAATAAAATTGACTTCTCATAATAGACAAAGCTCGAAAGATCAAATAATCATTTCATACAGGTAAGCAGATAGCATACTCCGTGCTTTGATTTGAAAAAAAAAAGACGTGTGTGTTTGTCAACCAAGATTTTAAATCTTCTGATCTCCACCTATCATATTTCGCTGTCGTCTGCTCGCGGGTGTCACTAGCGCGCAGCTGTATTCATGGTGCGATCCAGTGGGAGGCAATGCGCACCCGACGACTGAAAGTTTTGCCGAGTGCCCAAGATTTTTGCATTACAACAGTGACAGCTACTAGAAGTTGGTGCAATTACTAGTAGAGCTGTCACCAGTGCCATTACACGTGCTTCGGTTCTTATAAAAGAAGTTGAAAAAGACCGCCAAACCTTCCCGTTCGTTTCTTACCCCTCCACCCCAAATAAATAGATGAATAAAACTTCATCAATTTACATCTAACTTATATAGACCAAAAATGCACTGAATGACAGAAAAAGAAAAGAAAAGGAACAAACACATAATCTACAACCAAAAAGGTTAAAACAGTGATTCTAAATCAAGAAAATCAAGAATTAAAATTATTTTATCTCAAAATCAAGAAAATCAAAAATTATTCTATTCCTTCCCTCCAGATTTCCTGCTTTTGGTTTCCTTGATTCCGAGACCAACTACGGGAGGTAGACGCTGATTCTGCTCTATGTTGCTCCTGTCATTGGCGGTGCTGTAGAGGTGTTTTATATGATGTTTGCCTGTAAGGAAAGTGCGTATGATTGATACGAGAGAGAGAGAGAGAGAGAGATGAAGGTCGAAAAAGAAGTTAGGGGGTGTCAAATGGAAAAGAAGACCTTTATTCAAGAACTGAATGAAACATTTAATGTGCACAACTGAAAATTTGAATTCTTTGAGTCAAAAAGTCCTTACTATTTTTTGTTAGATTAATCTGGCCACGTGGCGCAGCCTTTGGCAAAAGGGGCAGCGAAGGCAAGGTGTCCACAGTGATACGGTTGTTGGCAGGAGCCACGCCCTCTAGGCTGGTTATTTTCATCAGGGGTGTGTGGGGAGGATGTCCCCTGTCAGCCCCCGGGCATGTGGGGTCAGTCTGATGGTGGTTGTTGATGGCTGGTAACTTTATACTATCCACTGAAAACAAGAAAGATGTTACTTTTTCAGATAGGTGCACTCTCTGCGAATATTGTGAACATATCTTTACATCTTTTTTCAAAATGACTGTGCATAGTTCTTATTCAAGATCAAAGAAAAAAATGATAACACACACACGTATGCTGTGTGCATTATAAATAAATCTTGTTATAAAAAAACTCAAGAATAAACTTCCCCGAAATATTTACCTTGATCTAGTTCAAATATTTCTAAACTAAACTAATTAGAAATAAAATGAGATTTAAAAGAGTAAACGACTCTTACCTAGAGTTTCAACCCAAGCGGAGGCAAACTCGTGCACGTGCTCTCTCTTTTGCAGGGTTAGCGATTTTCTCTAAAATTGTGACAAATCGTCTAGAATATACACCCGTTTTGAATTTCAATTTACAGGGTAAAACAAAATATGCAGTGAATGATTTTGACGCTCATAATAAGAATTACTAAGATTTGTTACTAAGGGGAAGATTTTTTTTTTGAGGAAGGGAAATATATGTCGTCAAAGAAAGCTTAATCACAATGCATGTAAAATCATAAAATGGAGAGCAAATATAAGAAGAATTCAGAGGGATTTGAAACTAAAGGAAAAGATGGCTATCGGAGTAATGATGTTGTTGAAATCAGTTCTTGTTGCTCACAGTTTTGATGCCGGGCAATTGGGGCAGGGCCGTCTGCAGTTTTGCCTGCTGATCCCACATGGCACTGCTCTTCGCAAGTGACGATAGTGGCGTAATGGTCCCGTATGTGGCTTCTCTAACATTTGTGGCGGGAAAGTGCTGTTGCTCACTGGTGCACGTGCCCCTTCCTCGCAGCTCTGGGAGGAAATTGGACACCAGGGGTTTTCTTATGCTTTCCATGGAGAGTTTCCCTTGTCCTAAGAGCCGTTGATGGCTTGAACTGGAAACTGCCGCTTTTAGGCGAGGGTTTATATCTGAAAAGGGACAGAAATAGACAGAAACAGTATATACGGAGATGCTAAACGTTACCAATTGTCAGCCAAGATGTAACATGGAATAACAAAGTGTGAGACAGGGCACAAAAAATATCACATACATACAAAGATAGTCCTCTTCACTCACGTGACGTTACTGTTTCATATCGGCCCGCCAGCTCTTCGGAATATTCTGGTATTTTTAATAAGTCCTTCGTTGACTTACCATACACTGATATTCCTCCAAACAATCCATTTTTATCTCTTTGATCAACTTTTCTGTATGCCATTGCAAAGCAAGAAAAATGCTCTGACGGTATTCTAAAATTGAAATAATTGAACTTGAATTTCACTATAAATCATTATATGTTCTTGTAAACGCTTAGAGGGTATTGATTGATAAATATATTTTCATGTTTCTATCAAATCGTCGGTAACTGGATAAAGTCATGGATAGACACAGATGTTTGCAGACTGTTGCCAAAGATTGGTGAGCAACTGACTAAAAATCCACTGTTCCTTTGCTTATTTACAAGTCTGCGCTTGTAAAGAATTTTGTTTCAATATTTGATACTATCGAGTATTATATAAAGGTATTTGTTAGTTTCTAGCTTTAAAAACGTTATACAAAAACTAAATAAAATACTCACCAAAGTTTCAATGTCTTGCTTGCTGCTGATCAACAAATTTGCAGGGGTGTCTATGACGTCAGTGTTTGGTAACGTTACGTCATCAACGCTGAATACTTGCGGAGTAACACTGCCCGTACTATTGTTGTATGGCTATTTGGCGCGACTAGGTTTATATGACGTCACAGAAGCATGGTTGAAGAACAGTTTACATATAGACTTTTTTCTGAATTCTGTACATCATGGAAGCAATACGGCATGAAAAATCATGTCGAACGAATAAACCAATCAATCAATAATTAATTTAATACTTTAAATATAAAAAGTAAATGTGAAAGTTTAGTCGCGCTTCTCGAATTTATAAAGTTTCAGTTCCTCAGGTAGGCCTACAGGTACAGTAAGATGACCTGAAATGTCATTATTTTTTCTTGTTTTTCAATGGGAAACATCTCCTGGTCCTTATTCCTTTTTTATCCATCTGTTCATTTATTCGCCATCGAAACGAACGCACTGATTTTGGAAATATTTATACCTTTGGAAGATGTGTACACAAAAAAATCCCAAAGTCATAGGACTCATTCCTAATCACGTAGGTCGATTCAACTCCTCGGAGTCTTTATGAATGCAATCAGATAAACAGATTGACACGGTTCCTCTTTGCTTAAGTAGAATGCAAAAAAAAAAAAATGATTATACGTTGGAAACAAGAATAGGGGTGGTAATCTCCTAATTCCCTGCAGAGTTGGATCTATCTACGTAGAACCATAGTATTATTGGGAATGAGCCCTATGATTTTGGGGATTTTTTAAAGCGTACAATAAACATTTAATTTCAAAACTTCTTTGCTCTACCACGTATGAAATCAAATTGATATTTGATCGCTACTTTTATTTCAAAAGGAAGGTGTGCAAAAGTTTTTTTACGTTTCCTCTTGTCATATCAACAACCCAACTGTCAACTTTTCCAATCAATACATTTTATTTATCTGAATAACACCTGAGTAAACACAAAATGTAACTAAATTTAAACCCACGCCGATTGCAGTAAATAAAAGAATCAAATTACCAGCTGCAGAATGATAATTGGAAGATGTTAACATCTTTGTTCCAGACCTAGAAATAACAGGAAATACTATGGTGCGCCGATATCATCAGATAATTCAAAATGAGATATATGATGAATTATTTCATAAACTGAATAAAACATCTGGATATGTGTTTAAATCATAAAAGACTAATAACACCAATAGCACCAAGGCATAGAAAATGAAAAAAATTGATGAAACATTTTATCGGTCTGAATAAAATACCCAAAATTAAATATTTAAAATCACCAGATGTAATGTAAGTGACTTTCATACATGTATTGACATAATAAAGGAGACCCGGAAACCGTCAGATAGCTCATTAGAAATTATTTTAATAACCATATTTTGATCAATGTATTTTACTTGACAGAATGCATAGAGGTTAAGTTCAAATCCTCCGTCTTGTTATATGAGCAGTCCTCCAATTGATAACTCCAGTGTAAATACAGACTACAATGAAATACAAACTATGAACTTTTGTTCAACATAGATAAAAGAATCAAATTAGCAGTAATGCTGTAAATTCAAGATGTAAACAACTGTGTTATTTTCTCATCTTTTCTGCACTATTCATCCATAATATTTGGGCAATCTCTAAAATAATGAACAAAATATTCAGTTTGTCTAAATAAAAACACAAAACCACCAAATTAGGTTTCTCTATTCTAAGGAGCTGCATATTTCAAATAACATAGACATAAGATGACCATAAGACGTATCTTAAGGAAACTTTCAAATTCTACATTATATATATATATATATATATATATATATATATATATATATATATATATATTCCGTTTGGGGTATATGTGTAGAGAGAGCAAAATAACCACATAATAGTACTGATGGTCAAAACAAGGACAGTGGTGGTGCCAGAAGGTTCATGTCCATATTTCCCCCACACTATTCTCCTCTTTAAATACTTCCTATCTCAGATATAGAAAGAGACACATGAAGTAGAAAAAGAAGAAGAAGGAATTATAACAACCATCGGTTATTTTTTTCTGGAATGGTCAATTTTACATTCACTTTTCGCAGATAAAGTGAAGCGCCAGGTGACACTGATTGTCGTTCCATTCGAGTTTTTGAACAAAAAACATTTCCATGCAGTCTTCGTTATGGCCGGCGCCATTATTGGGTTCTCTTGGAGCCCAGTTAAAATAGGAAACCCGTCTGTTGTCCTCCACCCAAACCCACGTGCCCTCTTTCGCCCCATCGTTACCACCAATCCACCAAGAAAAGTCAACTAGAAAATATGGCGTAAGATTTGTTATTTTAATGAAAAGGTCAAATTCCTATTCTCTAAAATAGCAATGCAATTGGACATTTCTTAAACAATAAATTGAAACAACAAATGCATAAATACAAAAATGTGCCTACATTGTAAGTTATTTTGCACGTAGGAGACAACCATATCGTTCTCACTCTGGGAAGATATTGATGCCAAATTTGAAGATTTGTTTCGGCAATAGGCTTGTGCATCTGACCACGATTTCTTCACATAGGAGAAGAGGTAGCATCGGTCACCAAGCAGGACAAACGGAGACTGACATCCTACAGATGCAATATTAAACACAAATGGACATTATGTCTTGTTGAACCTCTTCTTTATACAGCTGACATTCTAAAAAACTAGTTTCATTTAATAGATTACGAAAATTGGAGACCTTCGATCTATTATCAAATGATTTGAACAACAGTAACATACGTGTCAAATGATTAATTTTCAGCTGCATTTGTTGCATATTTCGAATTAATATCCCCAGCTCTATTGCCATTATCTCCAGGGTACTTTTGATGTTATCAGAACGTTTAGGTTTAACATTAAGGGGGTTAACGCCTCGCCTCTCCAAAGAGAAGACCTGAAAAAACAAACAAACAAATAAACAAACAAACAAACGTACGAGCTATGTGTAGATTGTTTAAAGTTGAAAACTTGAATGGAGATACACAAAATACTTTTTTGTATAAACTGCGACGTGATATATGATAAATACGCATAATGAATAATGGTGCTGAGAACATATATTTAAATGAAATACCTTGCCACTAAAACGTTCTCAGATATAGGCCTACCATGCACCCAGGTATCCAGTGTGCATTATATACATATAGATTGTTCAGTAATTAAATAAAACCTTCAACAAAACACTCAAACACGGGCATATATACCTTTTCATTAGTAGAGGTGCCAAACCCACGGGCTTCGTGTTGAAACGCCAAGAGAGCCACAAAAAATCCAAAGCAGAGGACAGAACTTTGCACTGCCATTATGATACAGTATGAGATGTAGACCTGTGTGAACTGGGTGTATTAACTTCCAACCGACTGTTGTGAATATGATTGAATTCAAGGGTTGAATAAACCGCACTCCGCTTTATGTATTATAATTCTATCCCGTTGGCTTCTGTTTGTTATCTATAAAATGGCTCCGATTTCTGTCTTCATAAAAAATGACGGTCTTGCGGAGAATCAAGTGCTGGATGGTTTTATCATGGCATCCATTTTTTACAGTGTTAAATCTGTGTTTAATTGGAATGAATTATATATAAACAACTGCATAGTCGCATTGGATAAATGAGTCATCCAGACCGGTTTTACTATCCGTGTAAATAATGTTTTTAAACATGTTGCTGGTCTTACAGATTAGTTGATGACGTTGCGTATACACAGCACGTAGTCTAAAATATCAAACATTATAACATCAGTGGTGCCAATTTTATGATTGTTCTATTTTCGGATAAATGAAGTACATTTAGTCGACTTTTTAAAAGATTTGATTTACGGTAGTGTTGTCTTTATTTATCTATTATAAGAAAAAACATTTTTACACCCCGTCACACTCATTTCGAATCAGCACGTATTTTTCTACGAAATTTTACTTTTGAAACTATAAAGAATATGTGAATATACTTGATTAAAGAACTGCGAGATGTCGTAGAAATATAATACTGTAATATGTGTGAAATATTAAGTTATCCCTCTTAAAAGAAATCAATTATATGGACAGCACGAGAAGCACAAATTGTAAAATACATGTACTTCCTTAAATAATTTTACGGTTACATTGCGCTCATTAATAGTAGGTTTTGTAAAAGCCCCCCCCCCCCTCCCGCCAAAATGAAACCATTCATTGAAGAACTAACAAATTAAAGTGATAACCAATGCAGTGCAACAATGCACAGTAGTTTTTTACTTTGTAATTTTAAGAAGTCTGATTACAAATTCGCGGAGAGAACGAACAGGTGTAACAGATGAATGCATTAATATCATTGTAATTGCTTATAATTTCAGGGGGTAATGCGATACCTTTTAGTAGGCAATCAGGAAATAAAAGGGAAATCATGTACCCAAACCAAGGGATGTTTCAAATATGCCAAAATGCCAAAAAGAATTCACCAGTTTTTCTTCTTTTCCAATGGCTATTATCAATATATTTCCATTATTTTACGTTTGAAATTTTAAAAAAGTTTACATCACTTGATGACTTTCTTCAATTTCAGAGTTATTTTATTTCGTTGGCACACATTCTTAATATATTATCTTGAACTGAAAGTAAATATGTTATTGTGCCACTTATTTTTCTCGTATAATCAGGGCAACAACAATTAACTTTGTGGTAGATTTTATTTGCCTGAATAACTCTCGTGTAGTAAACACCAGCTATGCCGACACTTTATGCAAAAAATTCAATCTCGTTATATGAGCAGTCCTCCTACTAATAACCCCAGTGTAAATACTGAATACAATGGAATACAGTCTATGAAGTCTTATCCGACACAGATAAATAAAAGAATCAAATTAAAAGCAATGCTGTAACTTCAATATGTAAACAACTGTGGGGCTGATTTTAGGAATAATTTTCTCTACTTTTCTGCACTATTCATCCATATTATCAGGACAATCTCTAAAAAATTGAACAAAATATTAAATTAATCTGAATAAAAATTAAAAAAAAAACCACCAGTTTTTTTCTATATTAACAAGTTACATATTCCAAGTAAAATAGACATAAGATGACTGTAAGACGTATGTTAAGATACTTCGAGGTTTATTATGCCTTGGTTATACTGACAAATATCTTAAGAGACGTATCTTAAGGAAACTTTCAAGAAACCAAATCAAAAATTCCTTGTTGGGATATATAAAGCAGAATAACCAATGTCACTTTTATTATCAGCCCTTATTCCCACATTACAGTAATGATGGTCAAAGCAAGGATAGAAGTTGTGCCAGAAGGTTCATGTCCATTTATCCCCCACCCTATTTTCCTCTTTAAATACTTCCTATCTCAGGTATAGAAAGAGACACATGAAGTAGGAAAAGGAAAAGAAGCAATAATAATAATCATCTGTTATATAACTTGCTACTGGAATGGCCAATTTTACGTTCACTTTTCGCAGATAAACTGATGAGCCAGATGGCACAGATGGTCATTCCATTCGGGTTTCTTGTCATGGAAAATTTCCATGCAGTCTTCGTTATCCTCATTATTGGGCTCTCTTGGACCCCAGTTAGAATAGGAAACCCGCCTATTGTTCTCTACCCAAACCCAGTTGCCCTCGGACGCCATGTCGTTACCGCCAATCCACCAGGTAAAATAATCTGAAAGTATGACGTGAAATCAGGGGTGGATCCAGGATCATTTGAAGGGGGAAGGGGGTCCGCACATATGTAGCTGACCCCCCCCCCCCCCCCTCCGCAAATCTCCGAATTTTTTTCTATTTTAGAGGGCGAATGGTGCCATTTGGTACGGTTTAGAACTACGATTCAGCTAGTCAAAATTTTAATTTCAAAAGGGGACCATTGTTGTAATTTTCTTTCAGAAATCGAAAGGGGAATCAGGATGAATTTGTCAAGGTAAAATGAAAAAGAAAAGAATGACTGGTAGAAAAGGACCAACCTGGGAAATTATTCTGTACGTAGATGATAATTTTCTTGTCTTCACTCCAAGAAGTAATTGTTGCCAGATGTGAGGACATGCTCCTGCAATAGGCTTGTGCATCTGACCACGATTTCTTCATATAGGAGAAGAGGTAACAGCTACTGCCAAGCTGGACAAAAGGAGCCTGACATCCTAGAGAAGTTGAAAGCAAACTTTTATTTTCTCTTACTATATTACATCTTAGGGTTGGAAAACGGGCGTTAACGAGTTAGCATTTCATTTTACCCGGTGCGCACTAGCCAAACATTGTATAATATTAAGAAAATTTAGAAATTAATATAAAAGCAACTTCGTGAAAATTTATCTGTGCTTCGAAAGTATAAAACTGTGTGTATGTGTGTGTGTGTGTGTGTGTGTGTTTGTGTGTGTGAGTGAAACTTTGATAATGGTGTCATTTAAAAATAATATCAATATTAGTAACATACTTGTCAGTTGATTTATACTCCGTTGCACTTGTTGCAAACCTCTCTCCAGGTTTTCAAGCTTTCTTTTCATTGTCTCCAACGTGTTACCGAGAGAAGCAGTTGAGGTGCTCCCCTGTCCAAAAATGCCACACACGACGACCACAAATAATGCAAAACAGAAGGACCTTGTCATGGCCATAATTACCTGGTGTGAGGTGTGGATCTGTGCGAGCTACGACTATTTACTTCCAAGCCTGAGTTGTGAATGCGAGTGAATAAGACGCACTCCGCTTTATAATTAACAATAACATCGCGCTAGTTGATGCTTGCTATCTAAAAAGGGTGTCTGATTTCTTTTTCGTAATAAATGTCACGGTCTCATGTTGAATCACGAGGTGGTTGCTTTTTTTTCAAGCGGTGTACACCTTAAATTAAAACTTTACAATGCTCAATCCTGTTTGTTTGTTTTTAATTGAAAAGTCGTGAAAAAAACGACGCCGTAATTAATGGAGAAAATAAGAAATAACCAAACAAAACGGACCGTCGGGGACAGATTGTTTTATTAATAACATATTTATTTACAGTCTAAAATCGATAAAATATCTGATTTGTAGACTTAACAATTAAAGATGCATACAAAGTCAATTTTTTGTCACAAAAACCAACCAAATGCCAGCATATAGTCTCAAGTAGTATAACTAAGAGAATTACCAAAAAGCATTGTTTAATTTTACCCAAAAATGATGTTTGAACAGATTTTTCTGCTGGCATTCTAAGCTGTATGTCAATGGGACAGGAAAGTCGGTCACGGAAGTAGGTTAAATTTACAACCATAAATTTGAAGAAAGGAGCAGTCTAAAGGTCTTTTATGGCTGATCGAGTGATCTATTCAGTTTTTCCCTTGGCATGTCGAATTTATTTGAGTCATATAAGAATCTAGTAGAAGTGGTTTACATGTGTTACTGGGAATCCACACTCCACCGATGCTCGGTTCGTATGTACCTTTAAATGGGTAGAATGATGATGCATTCATATGCACAACTCCCATCTCTACACGGTTTTGGACTCTAAATAAATATATTATTTTTTTTCAAATTAAAATCGGATTTCCTAAAAAACATCGCGAGCGCTGTATATATATTTTGGTAGAGAAAAATTCATCAAAATAATAAAAACCGGTTGCAGATGTTGTATAGTTGTCGAAATGTCTTTCCTTTCTCGAGATGGTCTTCTTTCCCTTTTGGCAATTTTAAAGCTTTACAAAGATATATATATTTTTTTTTGGAAAAATTGGTTGGATCGCTTTATGTGTTCATTTACTTCTTAGAACCACCTCACTTTGTTTATTGTAATGTTAAGTGGCACATCAATATCATATATTATCTTGAACTGCGAGGAGAAATGCTTCTCCTTATCTCGTTAAGTCAACAACTCAACTATTTTAACTATTTGCGGTAGCTTTTATTTGTCTGAATAACTCACGTGTACACAACAGCTATTGTATAATTGTATCGGCAATTTTAATTATTATTTAGAAGAATCAAGCTGGCAGCAACTGTCACCAAGTTTTGAAGACCAATCACTTTTGAGAGAAAGCATGTTAATAACTCCTGTGTATATGCGAAACAGGGTAGGATAATAATTTGATTATTTCAAAAAAACTATTGAACCCCACAATTCCAGAAATATGTAGAACAAATAATCAAAATGTTCATATTATCTGAATAAAATACCCGAAACACCACCAAATTAGTTTCCTAATTAATGATTTGATGCTCCAAATAAAATAGATATTTGAACATCGAAAGACGAACCCTGCACATACGCCTAATCCTCTATAATTACATATTTCAGCTTAGATTTAATGAAGCAAAAGTTATAACAGAAAAAACACCATGCATCAGCAACGTAACTATTAACTGAATGTGTGGGCTTTTATTTTTCTGAATAACTAATGTGTATTCTACACGGAACTGATAAATAAAAAATGCAGGATATTTGCAATCGAATTTTGGTAACTGAATATAATTTGACAGAAATCAAATGAAGGCTCTGTTCTTATGGTTCAGCTTCTTATACACCTGTATCAGTGGCTCTACTATTAATAACTCCTGTGTACACACAAAATACCATGAAATATATCTTGAAATTTTTTCCAACATAGATGAATAAAAAATAAGCACACCACTGTTGTTGAAAAAAGTTAATAACTATATAATGAAAATAAAGAAAGGAAGCATTATTTGCTTAAAACTTAAAGTACAATTCACCCATACCAAAAACAATCAAAACGAGAAATGAAATAAGATATAAAAAAAGTATTAAAAAGTTTTAAAATAATAATAAAGGAAACAATCAAATGATCTTGTACAGTATATGTGGGCTATAGGTTTCAAACATGAGCGAGATTAGAATTTAGACAGATGCAACCTAAAATCTAGAAAACCTCCAGTTATCCCTTTAAACAAATTCCACCATGGGTAGGGGACCTATAATGCTAGTATGATAATGACAAGAAAAAAATTAAGTGGGCCTAACGACCAATTACAGACCAATATCACGAAGTCGGGTTTCAGTAGAAGGCCATTCATACAAACTTAGCATTCTTTGATGATTATGAGTCTGTGATGTTAAGTGTAACATTGCCAAGAAGATCCTTAATCCCTTCTCCGTAAAAGGCCTCATTTTATTCTTAAAATAAATAAATAAATTAATTAATAGACACTTATTTTACGAGAGCCATCATAAATTCCCAGTTTGTTCAAAGATTCAGCTGTTTTCATTACTGTTCACAAATGAAATTCTTTGCAAAACCACACCATTCATCATTCCATCTGTGTGCGTAATTCTGCCACAAATGCAAGCAGTCTTCCCTTCCCCCGGAGTCATCAGGCTGATCTGGATACCAGTTAGTATACGTCATAACGCTTTTAGTGCCCACCCACACCCACCTGCCCTCCTGTGCCATGTCATTGCCGCCCAGCCACCAGCTGAAACTGACTGAAAGAAGAGAAAAGTAAAATTTATTTCTTGCAAACAATTCTCAAAACCAAGTTTTAACATCAAAATTAATCACTGCCTGGGCATATTGACGAGAACAATATTATATAAGGCAGTAACGTCTGAAAATTATACCTACCAGGAAATTTACTCCGTACGTACGAGACAATCATATTGTTCTCACGCTGGGAAGTTATTGTTGCCAAATTGGCATATTTGCTCCTGCAGTAGGCTTGTGCATCTGACCACGATTTAGTAAAATTGGAGAAGAGGTACATGTAGCATCCGTGATCAAGCCTGACAAATGGAGCCTGACATCCTGAAAAAGTTCAAAGCAAATGTTTTCTCCTTTAAACCCATCTTAATACAAATAACATAGTATTAAAACAGGACGTACATGTAGCTAGTTTTGCTTTACTTGGTAGATGACCAAACAGTGTACATTTTTAAAAATTATCTAGGTCAAGTTAAAAGCAACTTAATCAGAAATTAAATAAATCTTAAGCCATGTGAAAAACATTTTTGTATCACGGTAAATGCATTTCACAAAACCTCATCAATGATTTGAATGTGAACCTTTGACTAACAATTAAACACCATGAATATAAGAAACATACCTGTACTTCTCAATAAGGTCGNGAGAAATGGATTTTTACATGAACATTGTCCTTTAAGAAGATAAGCATGCTCACCTGGACAGATCACGTGTCCAAAAACGCCACGCTGCAGCACGAAGAAGAACAAAATGAGTCCAAAACAGAGAACAGACCTTGTCACTGCCATTATTAAACGGAGTGAAGTGTGGATCTGTGCGAGATGCGTCTATTAACTTCCTAGCTAGGCTACAGCTGTGAATAGGAGTGAATTAGACGCAATAATTTATAGTCGCATCACGCTAGTTGTTGTTTGTTATCTAAAAAGGGTGTCCCATTTCTTTTTCATAAAAATGTAATGGCCTTAGGTTGAATGGTGTGGTGTAAGTTTTTATTTCTTCGTGCAGTATAAACCTCAAATTCTAATTTCAACTTTATAATGCTTAATCCTGTTTCTTTCTAATTCTTGCCGTAATTAAAGAAAAAATAAGAAATAATCAAACAAAACAGACCGTGAGGGACATACTGCTTTAGTTATAACATATCTATTAAGAGTCTAATAGCCATAAATAATTTTTGTAGACTTAACAATTAAATACAAAATAAAAATGATTATTTTATATCGAAAGATAATGACTTTAAAAGTAAAGAGAAAAAGGTCCAATATATTATGTTCTGTAAAGTAAAATATATTCAAGCATTTTTTAAGTTCAAGCTAATTTTACCTGAACTATATGAAGTATGCATAAGAAATTACCAGATGTTGTATTAAATAGAATATTGAAATACTTCACAAGGACCCTAATTCGTCTGTCTTCGAAAACATTAATAATCTTATATGAACTCCATATGGCACACAAGGAGCTAAATAGTCCCATACAAGAAGCATGCCGAATTTAAATTGTACTAAAAAAAATACAAGCCATGTGTAACATATTTTCACTTGCCTCCGCCCTAACTGTTTTATAAAAATTAATAATAAAAAAGACGTTTCAAGAAGGAACGACGAAGTGCATGCACAGAAACAATGATATTACCAGTACATTGCAACCTTATTTACCTGTACAGATTTTACCTTGTTTTTTTTTTAAGTATCTGATTACGATTTTACAGAAAATAAACATTCGTGAAGCGATGATAGTGGAGTATAAGAATGCACCGTCATTTTAATCATTAACTGATCCATAAAAAAGACTTTTGTCACAGACACAGTAACAAAAAAAAAAAAAAAAAAAAAAAAGTCACAGAAACTTGTTTCATAGCGATGTTTCATACTTGTCAAATTGTCTTTCATTTTAGAATTTTGCCCTTTTTGAAATGTTATCTTGGTCTATACATAGAAATGCCTATGTTTTAACGTTTTATTTCTTTATGCCAGCAACGCAACAACTAACCGTGCGCAAAAGCTTTTATTTATCTGAATAACGTGTAAACATGAACAGAGACAGATCAAAGCTACTGTAATTTTATCTGACATCGGTAAATAAAAGATTTAAATTAGCAAGAGGGTTGTGACTGAATTCTGATCACTCATTTCATTTGAAAGAAAGCGTTGTTCTACTCTTATGTTTTATCTGGTTATTTTGCAGCATTGAGAAGTTCCACATATAAGCGAGATGAGAATGCAACTAGCTGTACTCCAATAAAACCTCCAGTTAGCTGTTTATTGATATATTTCAGTTTCACCAAATCGATATCTTCAACAACTTGGTAGGCCAGGAGAAATGACCATCTTTGCTACTTTTCACATATGATTCTCAGTGCATTGCCACACGGTGCATCATTCCATCTATGGGTGATGTGTTGCCACATACTCAAGCAGTGCTCCCCTCCATTGTTATCAGGTTGTCCTGGACCCCAGTTGGTATACCTCACAGCGCTGTTGGTACCCACCCAGACCCACCTGCCCTCCTGTGCCATGTCATTGCCGCCCAGCCACCAGTCAAAGTTGACTAAAAGAAGAGAAAACTAATTGGAGGGGTTGCATCACTTTCATTGATTATACATGTATTCAGCGCTTGGCAATTTTTTAAGTCACTTCACAAAGTAGTATCTTTCGAAAGTTAGTCAAACTATCAAATTTCAGATTGAATTATTGTTTACAACCGACCCTGATACCCTATATACATTGTATACACTGTATATGTTTCTTCGTTATGTTATACATTTCAGTATGTTTAAAGGCGCAGTGCAAACTGCGGTAAAGTGAATGGATAACGAGTTGATAAATAAAGAAAATGGTGAAGAAATAAGTGAATAAACGTGCCATAAATGTTACTATTTATTTATGGATATATGGTTCTTGCTGATTCTTGGGTATCATTTTTATGTTGAAGGTATTTTAAAACCATATTAATTATTGTCTTTTAGTTGATGGGTAGATTCACGTAGGCATAAATGACAGACATAAAGCCATGTAAGTGTATCATTTTTATGTTGAGGGTATTTTAAAACAATATTAATTAGTCATTGTATATTATTTGATAGGCAGATTCACGTATACGAATGGCAGAAAGAGAACCATGTTAGAAAATACACCTACTAGGAAAATGATTTCGAACGTAGGAAACAATTATGTCGTTCTCACACCGTGACGTTATCGTCGCTAAATTGGCATATTTGCTTCTGCAATAGGCTTGTGCATCTGACCACGATTTCTTCGTCTGGGAGAAGAGGTAGCATCGGCCATCAAGCATGACAAACGGGGACTGGCAAACTAAAGAAGTCGAAAACAAATTGACATTTTTTTCTTATAAGACTCCAGCGCTTTACAGGTCAGTTTTTTATTTTACTAACTAACCAATAGCAAACAGTGTATAATATTGACATACATAATAAAGAAAAAAAAAATAAATTAAAAGCACCCTCATGGCACTGAAATATATTTTGAGCCATTTAGAAATTCATTTTTTTTGTTTATATATGCATTATCTCTGATTTAAATATCAAAAAATGTTGGACGTGAAACTTAAATGGACGAATTTCATCAATTGCCATTCAAAATAATATCAATATTTGTAACATACTTGTAAGTTGATTTATTTTCCTTTGCATCTCCTCAAAACCGCTCTCCAGTTTGCTGTCCATCTTTTCGAGCTTTATTTTCATTGACTCGAGTGTGTTGCGGAGATAAGCATTCTCACTTGAGGTGGTCTTGTCTCCAAAACAACCAAGATGCAGCACGAAGAAGACCAAAATTAATCCAAAACAGAAGACAGACCTTGTCACTGCCATTAGGGTAGGATATGAGGCGTAGACCTGTGTGGACTGGGTGTATTCACTTCTAAGCTACAGCTGTAAATGCGAGTGAATAAGACGCACTCAGCTCAATAACTTACAGTAATTTCGTGCTGGTTTATGCGTGTTATCTAAAAAAGGTGTCTTATCACTTTTTTTCATAAAAATATCAAGGTCTCATGTTAAATCGTGAGGTGGGTGTTTTTACCTTTATACGGCATACACAAAAAATTGAAAATTAATCATGGTTTTAAATTCTTTTTGAGAAGTCCTAAAACTAAACAACGCCTTAATTGATAGAAAAATGAGCAATCGTGTATTTAACTTAAATGTGTGAAATATATATAAGTAGACTGTATAGAAACCGAGAGATGCTGTATGAAATTAAAAACTATATTGTGACACATTTATTCATGTAGGCCTACATTGATAAAGATAATCTAACACGAACAACACGTAAATCAAGGTGCAAAGTAGATCCCAATATAAAGAATTCAACATTGAATTGCACCCATGAAGGTACTGGTACCGTAGGCCTACATGTAGGGGCCTATATTCACCCCCCTCCCCCCCTTACTAAAAGAAGCAGTCGTTTATCGGAGGAACAAAATAATCACTAGCGCACCACCACTGTAGCCTACATGTAGGCTTGGATGTTTGTAGGCTTGGATGTTTGTTACGCCTAGTGAAGCTGCTAGTTGGCAATTAATTATCGTTTGTCAGCTTCAGTAGGCGTGCCAAACATCTAAGCCGCTTAAGCTAAAAGCACTTAAGCGAGAAACCCCTCGGAGATGGATTGATCCTGTAAGATCGATCTATAGTATATGAGAACCCAGTCTAAGATGGGACCAGTTTTAACCGCCAGGGCAAGTATACTAATCAGAACTGGGTTACTCCCGAGCTCACCTCTAACAGTGGGGCAGTTCAGAAGGCTGTCTATCACACATTTTTGGGTTATTTAAAATTGTACCTTTTGCGTGAAAGTGTGTATATCAATATTTAAAATCTGAATGTTTCTTTCACACAAAACGTTGAATTGCTCCTGTCTTGCATAAAAAATTCAACCAATCAGAGCCATAAATAAACTGGTATCACATGACCTACTTTCTACCTAAACAGGAGGAAATTAATGGAAGTAGTAATAGGGAAGAGATATTTGGGCATGTCAGTAGTTAATAAAGTCAGGGTGAGTACGAAAATAGACGCTGATGTTCTTCATCTTCAATCAGTAGTTTATACAGATCCTGCTCCTGAACTATCTCTGTACCTTAGTGCAACAGGGGGTGAAAGGAAAACCTGACACGAAAATGTACGAGCTAAATCATGATAAGAGCCCTACTGCATAATGTCAACACGTTGACGCTTCGCTATGCACAGAGACTACAGGTATAAATATTATATATCACCGGAGATAAGGCATTGTTTAGCCGTGGTCCAGACCTAAAGGTCGCCATGCGGAATGAGGGATCAGATTGGCGAAGGATGTCGTATTTTTAATGTTGTCTCGCCTCATATATGTGGTACAGTACTGCAGCCAGTGATTATAAATTGTAATATAATTATAATGGGCGAGACATATATGTGAAAGATCAGACAAGAGTAGAAGTATTTGTTTCTTGGCCAGATTACTGCTGGATTATTACTAGTTTCTTCACTGTTCAGCCCCAGTATGTATTATAGCACAGTGCTTGGCAGAGTTACAAGGATAAACAATAAAGGGAAGCTACTGTATAATTGAAAGAAGTGTAGGGTAGTCACGACCCAAAGTTAAGCTTTGACGGGTGAAACATGTAGATGTGGTTGTTCTGATGAAATCATCATCCTGTTTTGCCTACCAGCTGTACATGTGTGAGCTTATCCTCATAAAACTGAAAAATGAACAGTCTTCCCTGCGACTTTGGTGACTATACACACACACACACACAGATATCCCATTCACACTAGCACTTTTAACTGCGGTCAAAGCCTGACCTCGGTCCTATCGCGGTTAACTTTTCTAATGTG